GTAGAGCTGTGTACTAGTGACGTGTCATACGACACGACGCTGTGGTTCAAGCTCTTCCCTAATCTTATCCGCATCGCGTACGAAAAGTGCCCTTTCACAGTCACCATTGGCCGTGACTTAATATGCAACCGGATTCTGCAGATGTACAAGGCCATCGTGCTCTTGTCGGAACCTTCCAGGGGGCTGTACTACGGATCAGATCCCGGGAGCGCCCGCGTCGCTGGTAGAACACCAACGACACAGCCGGAGATCCTTGTGGAACAGTGGAAGCTCTACCTGATATTCGCCTGTACGACTCTGGCCGACCCAGGGAGCGTCGTCCCCGCCAATCCTCAAGGCACACAGCATAGCCGAAGGACATCCAAGCCGGCCTCAGCGGACAAAATCGTCTCAGCTAGAGTCCTGTTCAAGTACCTGATCCCGCTCCTGTCCGTCTCCTCGGCATCCGTCAGGGACGCAGTCGTCTCGGCTATGGGATCGATCAACATACACATATACCGCACTTTACTGGAGGAGCTGGCAGGCCAGGTTTCGCGTTGCAACGACGAGGCCCGCGCTCGCATCCACCAACGCACCAACAGCAGCCCAAGACGCAACCGCAAGATGGATCTCCTCAGAACCGAAATCACACACGTATACAAGCTCACCTGCCACTTCCTCAAGGAGGAGGAAGTTTACAATGACGAGTGGGTTCTGACTAACCTCGTCACCTTTACCCGGGACCTCAAGCTCTTCCTGATGGATGGAGAAGTACAGATGGACTGGGAGTTCCAGAAGCTTAGGCGGCACTACTGCGGCCTGACGGAGGAGCTCTTCGAGGGAATCAACAGGACGAAGGACCCTTCCCGGTGGATGACTTTTGAATCCCGCAAGTCCGCCTTCTCTTTGATGGAAGACTGGTGCGGGTTTTCGCCCAACCAAACCCAGATCCGCGTCCGGGAGGATACCATGCGGCAGTCTCTTATCGACCAGCAGTCCCTCGGAGAGAGAGGCACAGTTACTGCAGCCATGGAGATCGAGAAGCGAAACCTCCGCACAGCTGCCCTCAGTGCCATGGCTGCCCTTTGCGGTGGGCCGATGAGCATAACCACTGAGAGTGGCGCAACGCTCCAGTTCGATATCCGAAGAATGCTCGCTTGGATCGAGGCCATCTTCAATTCTGGCAGCGACCGTATGAACGTAATCGGTCGTCGGGCTCTGAAGAACCTGATTATCCACAACCAAGAGCTGCCGTACCTGCTAGAGCACTGCATCGCTCGTTGCTACCTGTCTGACGTTTCAAAGGTTCAAGAGAGCTACTTTGCTGTCGTGACTCAAGTGTTACTGGAGCATCTCGACTACTCGTGCCAGTTCTGGAAGCTGCTTGGGCTCTGCCTCTTCACGCTCGGTAACGATGAGAGCGAGATACGATCCAAGTCGGCCCGGTTGATGAGGTCGCTCGAAGAGAGGCAGCAGCCAGGCCGAACCTCCAAGATCCAGGACTACGACATTAGTATTTCCGACAAAACGAAGGCGGTGTATAAGCTGGCCCAGTTCGAGATCTCGAAACGACTTGCAAAACAGCATACCGAGCTGGCATTCCACATCTTCTCCGAGTTTACCCTCTACTTCAAAGATCTTCAGCCTGCCTCACAACGCAACGTCGTAGCTGTCATACTGCCCTGGATCCAGTCAATTGAGCTCAAGGTTGACCCGAATGGCGGCCCCACTTCACAGTCCTACGTTCTCTTAGCCAACTTGCTAGAGATCACCATCAAATCGAGTGGCGCACTGCACAACGAGGTTCAGGCGCTGTGGCAAGCCCTCGCCACTGGTCCTTATCCGGGGAATGTTCGATTGATTCTCGACTTCATCATTTCTCTGTGCCTTGAGCGGCGCGAGCAAAACTTTGTCGAGTACGCCAAGCAGATTGTCGTTTTCCTCTCCAGCACCTCTAGTACGCCAGGCATGAAGGTTGTGGAGTTTCTCCTCATGCAGATTACCCCCAAGGCAATGGTTCCGAACGAGAAGAAGGATGCTATGCCGCCGCCGCCAGACATTGGCCTCCTGCCTTACTGCGCAGACCTGGGAGAGGCACTCCCTGTGGGTACGAAGCAAGCTGGGTTCTCTCTAGGACAGCTCTCGTTGATCCTGCTGGTCGATCTCATGGTGTCTCCTGTGCATCTAACCCCTGAGAACGTACCGGTTCTTCTTCAGGTGGTGACGGTACTTTGGGATCATTACACTCCTCTCGTCCAAGAGCAAGCTAGGGAGATGCTGGTCCATCTCATCCATGAGCTTGTTATTTCTCGCCTGGATGATCAGACGGAGCCGACGGCTAGAGCATCGATTGAGGATCTCATCGATTTGATTCGTCGTCACGATCGCTCAGTCGTCTGGGGCTACGAGGACAGCAACGGCAAGGCCGATGATCACGACAATAAGGTGCCCCCAAGCATGGAATTTTTGACCGCAGAGGTAGTCAAGACGTTTGAGATGACCTACCCAGGTATCAAGGACCAGTGGGGCAGGCTGTCGCTGACGTGGGCAACTTCATGTCCCGTCCGACATCTCGCCTGCCGCTCGTTCCAGATCTTCCGATGTATCCTCACCTCCTTGGATCAGTTCATGTTGGGAGATATGCTCGCACGCCTGTCAAACACAATCGCCGACGAGGATACTGAGATCCAGACGTTTGCAATGGAGATCCTTACCACACTCAAGACGCTTATCCTGAAGCTCGATGCCGACAAGCTACTCACGTTCCCCCAGCTCTTCTGGACAACATGCGCCTGCTTGGAGTCTATCAACGAGCGCGAGTTCCTCGAGGCTGTGGAGATGCTCAACGAGTTTCTGACGAAGATCGACTTCCGGTCACTCAACGTCCGCAGGCTTCTGCTCGACGGCCAGCCCTCGAGATGGGACGGTCAGTTTGAGGGCCTTCAGTCTCTGCTGTACAAGGGAATGCGATCGTCTGTGTGTATGGAGGCCACTCTCAGCACACTCGACAAGCTCGTCCAACTGCCTAGCGACGGCCTCATCGGTGACGATAGCCGGCTGTTCTTTGCCATCTTGGCCAACTTCCCCCGCTTCCTCCACGAGATGGAGCAGGACGAGCCTAGCGAGCAAGCCTTGCAATCCGCTAGCATTCTGGGCGACGTCTGCGAGGTCCAGGGGTACCGCAACATTGCCGAACTCCTTCGGGAATACGTCACGTTCAAGTACCAGGGTAACAGCAGGGAGTTCCAAAGCCGTCTCTTCGCCGCGTTGAAGGATCACTTCCTCCCCAAGCTGGATTTCAAGATGATCATCTTTTTGATGGGCCTGCTTACGAACGCCACCGCGTGGGTGAAGCTCAAGACCATGAGAATCCTCAGCATTGTTATACCCGAGATTGACATGCGGAGGCCCGAGCTGGCCGGCCACGGTTCCGATCTCATCTCTCCGCTTCTACGTTTGCTGCAGACCGAGTTCTGCATGGAGGCATTGGAGGTGTTGGACAACATTATGACGATGTCGGGCAGCGCCATGGACAAGCAGCACCTGAGGATGAGCATGACGCGTTCCACGTCCAAGACGATTCGAAAAGAGTACGAGCGGACACAGAGTCTGTTCGGCATCCCGGAAGCGACCGGATGGGCCATTCCGATTCCGGCCAAGAAGACGGACTCCACGCGTGCAAACATCCACGCCGCATTCTACATGTGCCAGACCGCTGAAGGAATCCTCACGGAGGCGACCCCGACTCCCGACGTCGAATTCCATAACGACGACTTCCCGTACAGCTACTTCCAGATGCCTGACAGGACCGAGACGATGATGTCCGATGAGGGCCGCGCAGACGGACACCTCAGCGACCTCGTGACCAAGCTGGACAGCCTTGACGACTTCTTCGACGATCTCGGAACGAGCCCACCCAGCGACGGCCGCTCATCGAAGACCATCACTGAGTTCTCACCGGACAGCTTCGAGTCCGGAGCGCAGTTGTATGATGAGCAAATCCTGCCAATCCTGCATCAGGCTTCGAACAACAGCACATTCCAGAATGGGTTTACTGACAGGCCACCAGCTACGGCCAGGGACGCGGGCTCCAACACGATGAACCCTGGAGCTTTTAGCGCGTCGTCGTCGTTGTCGGCCACCGGCGGAATGGGGGGCGGCTCACGGCCGGGTCTCCACTACAGGTCCATCACGTCCCCGTCAGCGCCTGCGTCGTATCAGCCGCACATTAGCGAGTTTGCGTCGGACGACGAGTTCCCCGAGGACGTCTTCTCGGACGCCGACGACGAGCGACCGAACACGGGTAACGGCGAGGGCTCCTTTTCCCTGGAGAGTATGATCAAACCACTCGCACAGAGCACGAGATCGCGGATGCGTCGCTTGACGGGGGGCAGATCGCGCGACAGTGATCGACAACAGGAGCTGTTCCGTGCTGAGCGGGCGGCCGCTGCGCATCAGGTACCCAAGGTGCCGACCAATTTCCTAACCAAGATGCCGTCTCAAGGGGAGATGCTTTGAAGGGGAATGCGGCATGCACGGGACGGGCTCAATCACCTAAAACCTACATAATTTACATGCAATGCAGGGCTACTCGCCTAGCCCGACGGTCGAAGAGAAGGTGGGCGCATTATTTCACAGCTCGGGCTGAGAGCAGTGACCACAACCGTCATGTTCGATACGGGGAGAGTGCGAAACATAAGCTACTTCCGTAGCGTCAAATCACGACGGATGATAGAGGGAGAATACAAGGGGAAGTGGGGGCGTACCTAACCTAATGATGAAAAGAATTCAATCAAGATATCACGATTCTTGGGATCACGATAATTAGCGTCTTCCGAGTTTAAACTTGATAAGTGTTTTTGATTGTGTGAGACCAACCCTATGTCTTTCCCGGGGACTCCTGCTATCCTTATGTCTTGTATAAACTGCACGGATGACAAGATGAGCGGACGTGTTATGCGATGACGTGACTTCGGCCGTGGCCGGTGCTGTATCTATCCATCGCCGTGTTCAAGGTGTGACTAGTATCGGTGCCTGGTTGAGTAGTCTAGAGACGGGTGTTAGTAAAGAAGCGAATAAGTCATGTTTAACAACGGTTGCGCGCGTATGGAGGAAGAAGAACTCCAGGGGGGGAGGTTGATTCCTTACCCTTCGGACTGACGACCAAACCGCGACCCTTCTTGGCTCCGCGGTAAACCGTCTCGATGATGTCTATAAGCTCCTGTTTGTCTTCGAGGACCCAGTTGAGCTACCCGACAGAGTCAGAAAAGTCGCCAAACGAAGCTTTTTTTTTATTTTATTTTTTGGAGGGGAGGGGCGGGGGTAAAAAGGACCCGCGGCGTACCTTGTTATTGTTACCCGTTCCAAAGTCGACCATCATGTGCTTGTTGCGGAAGAAGAACATGATTGTGCAGGGGTCATAGAGTTCGTACACTGACGTGGGAAAGGTCTGTCAGCAGCCCGCTTCAGCTCTTATAGCACTTTGGCTATAAAAGGAGTGGCGAGTGATCGTTTGGGGGGAGGGGAGGAGAGACGTACTCTGGTTGAAGTCGGGGACCAGGTCGATGTCGCAAACGTAGATGACGGCGAAGTTCTTGACGCGCTCGGAGATGCGGTAGAGGACCTCATCCTGCTGCATGCATTGCGGGTCGGCATCGCGCCCAAACCTGATGACCTTTGTGTTTCTACTATTAGATGCTTGGTGTCGTCCTACAGGGTTGAGCCGGACTGCGACTTACAACAAGGCGCTCCTCCTCGGAGAGGATCGCTTGGTCGACGTGCCAGCCACTGTTAAGATGCGGGATGACGATGGAACCCATGGTGAATGATGGCTGTCTCGATTCACAGTTCGGTTGGGCTTGGTGGAGGTGTTTTTGCAGAGGTCTCGCAGGATCGTGAGGTCTGGTGTGCTGGTGGTTTGGCAGATGGAGGGGATTGCGACAAGGCGGTTCTAGAAATCGGAGGCTTGGGTTTCCAGCGTTCGGTGAAATGTCATTGCGGGTCGTCCCCATGCTGGCAGCACCTCCAAATGCCCCTCCGATCCCCGCGCTAACCTCAGAACGGACTATGTCCGGAGCGGTGGAGGGCGGCAGAACTTTTTATTTCTTGACGGGGTCCACTGCCCGGATCTTGGGAGGAATTGGAAGAGCGAGTGAGAGAGGCAGCAGACGGGCATAGTCGTTGCTTGCACAACTCCGTTAAATCGTTCAATATCCCCTTCCCCACGAGATTTCACCGCCGAAAAGATGGTCAAACGTCCGTCTCGCGGACTCGAGGGCGCAGATGTCTCGCGCAAGAGGCAGAAGGTCGTGCATGAAGCTCCAACTTTCGAAGAGGTCAATCATTCGCGACACCTCCAGCAGCTCTTGACCTTTGACCAGGACCAAAAACGAGCGCGGCACGGTAGGACGCATTCTATGACTGGCATTGAACGCCCCGAAACTAATCCTTCCGCTTTCCCCCAGGCATCCAGTCCCTCAAGGTCTTCCTCGACGGCTTCAGCTCGGGCAATGGTGACAACAAGGACCGGTTCACCACTCTCCGGGAGTACCTCGACGCCGCCCGGCCGCGCGACACGAGCGACAACGCCGTCCACCTCGGTGACATAATGGAGACTTGGTCGTACGGCGCGCAGGTCAACAATGAGGCCATGATGTCCGCCGTGCCCGCCGTGCTGGCCCTGTTGCTGCAGGTCGCCTCGCAGACCCTCGAGCTGCTCCCGCATGCCCTAGACATCGCCCGCACTCTGCTGCAGGAGCGCCAGCTGAAGCTCATCGCGCGGTGTCTGTCGGCGCCCAAGGGCAGCGGGTACGTCATTTCGCCGACGCTGCGGCTGGTGCGCGAGCTCGTGATGCTCGACGGCGGGACGCTGGCAAGGCGGGTATTCCGCGCGCGGGACCACACGTTTGCGAGCTTCGCGCGCAACCTGGAGATTCGGCACCTCGGGGGCGCCGTCGACGGCGAGAAGAGCAGCAGCGTTGAGGACCCGTCAAGGCCGTCGGTGCGGACGAACGCCATCAAGCTGTTCCTGAGCTGTCTCAAGTTCCTGCCGGCCGAGGCCAAGAAGGAGATGCTGATGCTCAAGGAGGTGTTTTCGCACCTGACGTTTCTGCTGAAGGACGACCCGCCGTACCTGATTCTCGAGATGCTGGCCGCGTTGAAGAAGCACGTGCTCTTGGACGACAAGCTGCCCCGCGAGGTCAAGTTCCGGGCCTTCAACACAAAGACCCTGGACCGCTTGGCTGGGCTGTATGCGTACAGGCATGACGTTGAGGGGGACGACAAGCCTTCTGTCAGGGGGGCTGTTCACGAGTTTCTGCTTTACACCTGCACGACGCCTGGTGCCGGAGTTCTTTACTCTGGAACCGGCCTCTACCCGAAGGAGCTCGAGGATGAGGCGGCGCAGGACGTCAAGAGCCTGGACGACTACGGTCTGGAGCGCGTCGCGTGGATGGACAAGTACAAGGACGATATCGCCGTCGCCAACTTTGTGCTCTCAGAATTCATTCAAAAACTGCGGCCGTGGTCGAGTCTGAAACACAGCGAGCTCATCGTCGCCATCTTCCAGGCGGCGCCGGAGCTTGTTGCCAGCTACTTCTTGAACAACAAGTCCTTCACCTTCGAGCCGAAGCTGTCCATGACGTGGATTGGGTACGCCGCCTTCCTATTCAACACGGTAAATCTGCCGTTACCGCCTCATTACGGTCCAACGACAGGTTACCGCCGAGTTCCCCCGCCGACTTCGATCCTCCTCGACAACATTCTGCCGCTCCCGCTCAAGCAGCGAGACCTCGTCCGTTGTCTCTCCAACAAGTCGACCCTCATCTCCTTCTTCGCCATCCGCATCCTCGTCCTTGCCCTCCAGAAGCTCGAGGTCGCCCTGAAGATGCATCGCGAGGCGGCCGAGTCGTCGAAGTCGACCTGGGAAATGGCGGCGCGCAAGCTCGTCGACGAGTTCTACCAGAAGATGCCCGACATGAAGGAGGTGACCAAGTGCTACAAGGCCATGGCGGAGGAGAATGTCCTGCAGCGCGAGGCTGCCAGCAGACTGCTGCTCCTGTACTACGAGGCCATACCGCAGGTCGCGCTGCGGGCCAACTTTGACGTCTCACCATTCCTGGTCAAGTCGCTCACGCGCCTCGACAGCAGGGCCGAGGAGCCGCAGAACCAGGCCCTGGCTCTGATGGAGCTGGAGAACTTGATCGCCATCGCGGGGTACTCCCCGGGCATGAGGTGGTTCGCCAAGACGGAGGGCCTTGCGGCGTCGCCGTTCGTCGCACTGCTCAAGTTCTACGTCGAGAACGCGCAGGGGCGGTCGAAGCTGAAGGAGGTCCTCGAGTCTGTGACGGTGCAGCACCAGCTTGTGCTGCAACAGACCGGCCTCATTCCCCTGCTCCGCGCGGCTCAGGAGCTGAAAGGGGGCGGCAAGTCGCGGAACCTGGACCTCGTTTGGGAATACCTCGACAACTGCGCCGGGAGATGCGCGGCGTCGCCGCTTAAGTACGTCGACTTGATGCAGGAGAGCGTCACCGAGGGTCAGGAAGACAACTCGGCCAGCTTGATCCTGGCTACTATGGTTGAGCAGCTGCCGTTCGTCGCCGACAAAGCGACTGATAAGAAGGACCTGGAGCATCTTTCCAAGTTCTTGACGGTGCTTTTGAGTTGCGCCCAGACAAAAGGAGAGGCCCCGGCTGTGATTGGTGCCTTTGCCAAGAAGATGACGGAGATTCTGGCAGGTCGGGCGCCGGCGGTCGTCCCAAAAGCTCACGATGCTTTGCTCGGGGGCGAGGCGGGCGAGGACGCGGCTGCTGAAGTCAATGGCGCCGGGCCCCAACGACAAAAGCCGGCCATTGTGAACGGAGAGCTCGGTGACTCTTCACTAGAAGCGATCCTGGACGTGCCGTTCGGCCCCGACAAAGACAACTCGGCGCTCCTCAAGTGGAACTCCAAGAGCGTCGAGGACCTTGTCGACGAGGGCTACGCCGCGGCGCTCATCCGTCTCCTGTGGTCGGAACACGCCAACATCCGCCAGGAGGCCCTCACAAACATCATGAAAATGGCGGCCAAGTTCAAGGACTCAACCTATGAAGAGAAGGATCAGATCTGGCTCCTCCTCTCGGAGCTTGCCGAGTCGTCACGCGTGCTCGTCACCCGCGGTCCCGTTGCCTCGCCGCTTGTCTCCTTCGCCATCAGCGCCCTTGAAGTGCTCAAGAACCCGCTTCACTGCCTCTACCCCAAGGTCAACAGCTTCCTCACGCGCGGGCCCGTGTGGCAGCACGACAAGGTGCCGCTGGCGCACGACATCCTCCACGGTGCCCCGTCCGACGATGATAAGTACTATACCGAGGTGAGCTGGCTGCTAGCGTACCTGCTGGACGGCCTGCGCACGCCGGCGGACCTGGCCGTGTACCACCAGAAGAAGTGGTTCGAGAAGGTGTTTGCGCTCGCGGGCAACCCGTACATGCGGGCGAACCTGCGGACGAGGATCCTAAGGGTGCTCTGGCGAGCGACGTGCATCGAGGGCGGGAGCACGACGCTGGCGACGAGGTTCGGCATCGTGAGCTGGCTGGAGGCGCAGGAGGCCAGGTGCGACGGCAGCGGCGAGGCGTCGGCCGGGGACAAGGTGGGGCGGATCGACGCGGACAGCCGGGAGACGAGACGGCTGTATCGGGCGCTGAGAAGGAGGGTTTGGGAGACGTGTGACCAGGAGAGGGTCGGCGAGTGGAGCCGGAAGGGGATTCCTTCGGCCTTGGGAGCTTGAAGAGCAAAGTGAAGAAGGGGGCAAGACTACATGATGTACAAAGCCCCAAAGGGAAAAGGAAAATTTCGTTAGAGCACATCGTATGTCGAGGTCATGAAAACATGACGATTGCCTCTCGGCATTGGGGTGCGATGTGAGGTACAGCACAAATGTCTGCGGAACGTGCTCATTGGGTAGAGAGCATTAGTTATCTTTGCAAGACAGCGGATGGCAGAGGGGAAACTCCTGATTCATCGAGAAAGGGAGAGTATGGCCTTCTAATTCCGAGTGAATCAACCCACGCTTATTCGCGTCATCTCCGAGTACCTGGGTATCGACTCGACCGCGGGTATTGGTCCTAGTCCGTTGCGACTCTCTAAGGTCCCGAATGCGGTGTATGCAACAGCTCTGATGCAGGCTTCGGGAGCCACAGACTGTTTTCATAATATACACCAGAGATTATGCGAGAGGTGTGCCTACTACGTCTGTATACAAAGTGAAAAGCAACGAATGTTATGAGGTGCTGCGATCTGGCATAGTAAATGAAACGTGGCAGACTCGGCTGGAAGTCAACAAAGTGGATATGTAAAGGGATTGTTGAAAAGAAAGAATTAAGAAACGAAGGGTACAGCACTCGAAGGGGTCTGTTCACTTGAACAGAAAAGTGAAGAAACAACGACGTGGTTGGAACGGCGTGGTCTCTGTTGTTTTTATCGCTGTTAGGATTTGCTCTTTTGGGGTTTCCTAGCGAGTCGTTCCTCAATGTTCCAACATGCATCTGTAATACAACCAAGAAAGGGAATCATAACCACAAGGGAAGTGGGCAGCCAGCAGGACTGTTGGAAACGGCACAGAGTGTTGTTCCTTCTTCCAACTTTTCAGCGTGGACGAAACAAGCTGTTTTATGAGAATTCACCAACTACCTATCACCTTCGTAAGTAGGTGTGGTCAGTCTGCCAAGCCAGGTGCCTAGTCAAGCCAGCAGCAAGCAAGGGATAAGCGCCTGCGATTTAGGTCCGGGGCAGATAGAATAGAGACAGCGGTGGGTACCTCAAGCGCATTCAGTCTGCGTTGCCGTTCATGCCGTGACTGTGGATTGCAACTTGATGACGGTTCTGTTGTTACATGTTGCCGAGAGCACACTGGTTCAGGACCTCAGTTCCAAGCTCAAGTCGGCTCAGAGATTGATTGGCATACTGTACAAACACCTTCCCACACTACTTACCTATACCTAGATAGGTTGGTTTGTAAAGGTTGAGCGATACGACGATGCCGAATCACTGCAGAGTTACACCGACTTAGTTAGCCCTAGCTGCCTGCTTACTACGTGGTATGTAAGGTTGGTTAGATATCCCTCGGCAAGGGATTGACCGGTAGGATAGCGGAGCGCCCACCGCCAGCATAGGTAGTATTAAGTTGGAAGACGGACGTACTGCATACGAGTGACTGACTTCTCGACCCATTTACACTGCATATGATTGTATAGGTATGTACCTCCTTATGGGGAGAAATTTGCCAGCCGGCAGGGAAGGAAGAAAAAAAGTCACCCGAGTTTTGCTGTGGTCTGCCATTTGGTGGGTGGGAGGGAACTAGGTACCTAAGGTTACCTAAGGTAAACGAATACCAGTGCAGGGGGGGACTACACCTACCTTCCTCGAGGACATGACAGGGAAGGCGGTAGGACGTAGGTAAGGAGGGAGGTACGAAGGTACTCACCCGGAATGGAATGGCTCTTTCCTTGGCTGCCACGCACCCAGAGTGGGGAACATAAGGAAGGATACGTACCTACATGGAGAATGGCAAAGCTGGCGCTGCTTGCTTGCTTCTGCTAGAGATGGTCTTGTGTTGGTGGGTGCTGAGCGGTGCTGCTTGCTGCACCTGAGCACCTGAGCACCTGAGCATCTCCTCCACCAGGTTTCGTCCGAAGTGCCAAAACTCCTTTGACCACCATCTCTCCACGCTCCGACAGTTCGCTGCCAAAACTCACCACCCATCACGTATAATCTCTCTCAACGCATCCGTATTGCATCACTCCACTGCCAAATAAACCATCGATCCCATTTTCGCCTTGTCAGCCTCACATCATCAGCCTGGCCGCATCGAGGCACCGAGCCCTATCTGCTCTGCACCTTGCAGCGTAGCCCGATTGGAGCCCATTCGCCCGCCACCTTTGACTGGACTGGGCTCGACTCAACTCGACTCGGCTCGACTCGACTCGACTGCGCCAGCGACCGCAACTGGACGGCTGCCGACGACCGATTACCTGACTTGACAGACCTCCCTCGACCCTACCTACCTATCTACTTGCCTACACCTGCTTGCCATTCTCCCTACTACTCCGTGTGACGTACATCCAAAGTACAACTACGACTACGACCGCAATCCTCACAGCCTTACCTTCTCAATCACCACACCGACAACAACAAATCAAACCCTTTCCTCCATCTCCTACTTTACTCCTTCCTGGTGTGATACCACTAATCGGCTTCCCTGTTTCTGTCGGCTGAACTGCTTCCCCCTCTGTCCATGCCAACATCACCGCCCTCGCCATTACAACAATAGCCTTCCCAGCCCCACTCGGATGCGCCTTGCATCATCATCCTGCTATGGCAATTCAATATACGGCAGAGTTTCTCATTCATCTGCGAGAATCACCGCTATGCGTCAAACCGGCCGCACTGCCGCCTGCTGAAGAATGGATGGGGTATGCCGTCCACCCCATTTCATCCCACTTGACTCCTCTAACAGCCCACCCAGACCTCCCCCAGACAATTCCCGAACCCAAGGCAACAGCAGCACCACCAACCAGGCCAAGACTCCTGCCGACAGAAGAAGCCACGACAACCCCCTCCTTGACCAGACGAACCGCCGCCCCGGCCTCGATCGCCACGCCTCGAGAAACAGCGCAAGTACGTAGCCCGGCCCGGGCCCCTTCCTCTTTGTGTGCAATAACTGACAGCAAGGCCAATTGCCAGATCCTGAAGACATCATCCTCGGACCACCCCGAACAGCTTTCGCCTCTGCGACTTTGCGTAACGGCAAGCCTTTCGACAGCGACAAGGGGCCCAAGGACGCTGACTCGCCAAGTCGCTTCAACTTCCGCAACCGCAACGGCGACACTCCCGAGGGTGACCGCTTCCGCGACTCGAGAAACACCAGCTTTCGCCGTCGTGGCGACGGCGACCAGGATCAGGAGGGATGGAGCACCGTCAAGCCACGCAAGAGCTTCGGGCACGAGGGCGCTGAGCGCTTTCAAGGTCGCATGGGCGCGGGTGGTGGTGACAGACTCCCCAACGAACGCCGTCCGCGTGATCGCGATGATCGGGAGGGCCCCAGAGACCGAACCCACCGCACCTTTGACCATCACGACAAGGACAAGGACCATGAACATGAAGAGGCTGAACCGCGACCCCGAAATGGTCTCAACAGGGGCAAGTCGGAGCCCTGGTTCAAGAACGATAGCAACAGCAGCAACAACGTCGCCAGCACCCCCGAGAAGCCTCCCATGACGGCTCGCGAGCGCATCGATCGTGCTAAAAGCTGGAGAGACCGGAACCGGGATGCCGAGGTCGTTGAAGAGAAGACGACTGGCCGGAACTACGAACGCCGCTGGGATCGTGGGGATCACAGGCAAGAGCGGGAGCCCGAGTGGTTTGACGAACCCGCCGGGGAGAAGTCGGGAGGCCACACCGAAGAGGACTTCAAGAAGTTCATGGAGACCATGAAGGCAAGCCGCAACGCCCCGGCTGAGGACAAGGCGCCCATTGCCGTTGCTGAGGCTACCATCAAGGCTGAGCAGCCATCCGTCGCTTCTGCGCCTGCTGTCGAAATTGGTCCTGATCAGTTCTTTCTCAAATTTGCATCCACTGCTGGATTGGATGTCGGTTCCCCAAATGAACCCAAGAAGGAAGTTACTGCCAAGGCCAAGACTGGCGGCGGCAAGTCGTCCCGCTTCACGTCCTTCTTCAATGCGCCGCAAGACGATCCCAACCGCCGCATGCAGACTGAGCCCTCGACCCCTCTTGCTGGGCTTTCCATTGGCGGCTCCGACGGGTCTGCGCCTGCCCCTGATTCCGAGAAGCAAGCTTTCCAGGCCTTGCTCATGAAGCTGCAGCGTTCGAACATTCAGTCTTCTACTCCTCCTGCCTCCCAGCCTTTCCAGGAACCCCCTCCACTTGCGCGCGAACCGGCTCCTTCGGGCTCCATTGCATCGCCCGAGCCTTTCCAGCAGTATGGTGGTGAACGCCGAGAGGAACCCCGTCCCCGCATGCCTCAAGCCTCCATGTCCATGTCTGATATCCTTGCCCCACGTCCCACGATTCCAGGCCAGCAGCCTGCTGCTCGTCCAGATCAACTGCTTCAGGATTTGGTTGGGCAGCGCCACCAGGCCTCTAGCCAGGGCTCGGCCAGAATGGAGCCGAACCAAGGTCGCAACATGAGCAACACTGAGTTCTTGATGAACTTGATGAGAAACCAGCCAGAGCCCCCGCGCACTGAGCAGCTTCTCATGCGCATGCCGCAGCCTCAGCGCGCTGCCCAGATCCCGCATGCTCAAGATCGCGAACCCGACTTTCCGCAGGGCATCCCCCATGGCATCCCGCAAGGCATCCCGCAAGGCATCCCGCAGGGCATCCCGCAGGGTGGCCGTGGCTCTCAACGTCAGATGCGAGGCCAGGGCCCACCGGGCTTCATGGACGAGGCTTTCCACCACCCGGAACCCGAGGCTCGTATGCAGCCTACGCAGATCCTGCAGCGCCCTCCCCCGCCCCCCGGTTTGGACCAGATGAACCCCAACTGGATCCAGCCCGGCGGTCCCATCCCTCCTCAACAGAGATCCATCATTCCCCCTCCCGGCCTTGCCGGCGGCCCTGGTCGCAACCACCCCATGGGCGCTATGTTCCCGCCCAACTTCCCTCCGGGTGCGTTCCCGCCCCCGGAGGTCATGGCAGGTCCGCCACCGCGCAACATGCCCCCTCCTCCGGGCTTCTTCGGCGGTCCTCCTCCCGGATTTATCCCTCCCCCTGGAATGCCTGGCTTTCCCGGCCCCGCTGGGCCTGAGGGGCACGTGTTCCCCTTTGACGGGCGTATGCCACCCCCGGGCGCCGCTCAGGCGTTCCGAAGACAGTAAACCTTACCTCCGTAAGGGTTCAATTTCGACCTTGACATCTGGGGTCAGGTCTCACTGCCGCAGCACATCAACAGCTGCACTAAACTTGTTCGAGTCACTGCATCGAATCGTACAGGTGTATGTCCCTGAGAAGGACATGATTTGTACAGAAACCCAATGAAAATGTCGGAACAACGACGTTTTATCGGATTTTTCTCAATCAATAACCTTATTTCCAACCCTCGGTGCCCACGGTTCTCCATTCGGACTGGAGAGGGCGGTCAACTTATGGCCCTGTCCGTTTCGCACGCGTGAACCATACATCGGCTATACCGATGACGAATCATATTCCCGCGACTACGTCTTTCTCTCACGAGAGTAGACAATGTTTTAGACCAGACCAGCCTCGGTCTCGACCGAGGCTACTACAGCCTCGTCCATCTCACATAATCCGAAGGTATTGGGCAGAGGTGGAATCATACAAAAACGGATTGACGGATTTCCGAGGGGAGGCAGGGATAGGGTGCTCCGATATTAGTCTACCACGGTAGACATGAATGAAATGAAACGGATGTCTGGCTCCCTCGCTTCCATAATCGAGTTACCCTTTTGTTTGAAAAAGTTCCTCGTGACTGTGTGTGTACGTCTCATGTCCAACATGCTGAGGGGAGACAACAGCGTTGAGGTCAAAATTGTGCGTAGACATTCTCATACTTCTCTCCCCCTCTCTCAGAACGCGCACAGATTGATTCCTAAGCATGCTGAAATCACAAGATGTCAAGGAAGGAAATTTTAGCAGCACATGGTTGATGGACCGCACGGTATTATTTTTTTTTTTAAAAAAAACCCCCCCACTAATAATGCACAGACGCGCTCGTTCATGACCTTGGACGGTTTACTCCGTACTTGGACAGCCTGATGTTCCTTCTAAAAACACGCCAGAGAAAAAGAAGAGAGGAAGAGAACAAGGATAAGAAGGAGACCTCCGATAGAACCTGTCCAGTCGCCCCCTTCTCGATCAACTAGGGTCATCGGGTTTTCCAAACATCTGTAAGCCGAAATGGGGCCCCCCGCGCCATCTGGGTCAACACCAAAGAACGCCACGCTGGCAAAATGAGAAAGAAAAAGGAGTGCAACGTTCAAGTTCAGAATGTATATTGAGTTTGTTTCCAAACATTAGATCCTCGTGCCCCTCAATGCTTGTCCTTGTCCTTGCTGCTCTTCTTCATACCTAGGAAGTTGCGCTTCTTCTTGTCCTTTTCGAGCTTTTGAGGCTTTCCGCTATCTGATGGCGCAGGCGAGGCGCTGCCTCCGTTCGATGAGGGCGTAGCGGCGTTGAGGCCCATGCTGCTCATCTGGGCCGTCGGCGGGGCCACAGGCCGGCTTGGAAGACCACCCGAAGGCGGCACTCTTTGAGCAGGGTTTCCCGCTGGTTGTCCTGGTGCTCCTGGAGCAGGCCGTGGCGCCATGGGGTTGGGCGGAGGGGCGGGTTTCTCGTAGACCCACGCTGGAGCACGGGGTGTCGGTCGCTCCATGGGGATGTCGAGCGTGCGTTTGTCCTTGCCCAGGTCGCCTACCTGGCGGATGTAGAGCTGCGGTGTGAGCATATGGCTGGTCACCAAAAAGATGTCCTTGCCTTGACGGGCTGAAACTTCGTAGCATGCGCGGCTTTCGCTATATGTTGCGCCGCCAGCCATGAACACGATGTAGCGCTGCCGGTTTTCTGGCGGTCTTCGGCCCGCCGCCGCCCAGTTCGGCCTGCCTGCGCGCAGTGAACCTTGCTGGGACGCCAAGAGATCCTCGTTAGGGTCTGCCGGCGGCTTCACGTAAGGGAAAGTCGTTTGGTCCAATGTACCCCGACTGAGCTCTTCGAGCATCGTCTGCAGCGCCGCCTCGAAGCGAGATAGCGAGTATTCCTCGCTGATTTCGGCGGATTTGGTGTTCTTGGTGAACAGAGGCGGCTGAGCCGGCCGCACGTCTTTCAGGCCGCTGCGAACGGGGCGTCCGCCCAGCATTTCAAGGTTGACTGCAACCTCTCCGTCTCTTTGCGGCAAGCCGGAATGCGCCAGCAGTCGATTGATGTCTTCCATGATGACGCCATCTCGATAAAGCACATAGAGAATAATCAAGCGCAGTCGGTCCGCGGGCGAAACCGCATCATCATCCAACAGCCTCACAACCTGATCCAAGATATTCTTTGGCTTCTTAAAGTCCTCGTCCAGCCCTGTTGCCAGCGTTTGCTCAGCAGAAGCAATGTCCGGCAGCTTCTGCTTCTCAAATATGTTCATGGCCTCTTGTGCCATATTCAAGTGAAGCGAGTATGCCTCTTTCATCTCCTGGAATTGAGGCAGTCCAGCCAGCATGTCCCTGATGGCGTTCAAACTCGTCGTATCTTGCTCCTCGTTGACGAAGTGCGGGTTGTCGGACAAGAACTTTCGAAAATCGGACATGAGTTTTTCAATTGTATCCTTCATGTGCCGGTGGCGGTTGTCCACCCATACACGGTCTTTGTCTGAAAGCTCCATGTCCTTCTCCTCTTCTTCCGGAGTACCGCTGTTGGTGACCATATGGTACGTAACTTTGTCGCCGTCTTGTATCGGGAGGAGATCGTGAGCCATGGCTTGATATGTGAACTCATGCACTAGTGGTGCCACAATGTCCATTGATCTGTCTGTGATGACGAGAGTTCCCGCTGGTCTCGTCGACTGTGGTGGGAAATTGGGGTTCCATTGCGCGTATTCGTCCAGTTCTTCCTGTACAAACCGAGCGAGATGGGCGCTAAGTACTGCAGCTTCATGAAGGGGGTTTTTCGGCCTGTAGTAGCGTATTTTGGGGTATTCGCCCAACGTGACGCACACACCAGTAATCTGATTGCGCCTGTCAGCCAAACAAACAAAAAAACAGGCCGCAAGCCCCATGTTTTACGCACCTTTTGGGCCAGGATTTTCATGTGACGTGCAACCAAGTTGTTGCAAGCGGGGTGGTAGAGGATGGGGAAGCTCCAGGGGTCTCTAAATGTCACCAGGTGCGACTCGCGAGGGAAGAAGTCAATGGACAAGGTCTCGAACCCTGCGATACGTTGCTTGGCGGGCGGGCAGCCGTCAATCATGCGACGAATTCTGGGGTCCAAGACACCGGTCCACACGAGGTAGGCTTGCTTGTATCTGCGGCGCTCGAAGTCGTTGACGAGGATTTCGACGATGTTTTCTTGCGGAGACAGGATGTAGATGGCGTCCATCTCAGGGTTCATGTCTCGCTTCTGCTCGATGCGCTCGATGTCTATACCAAGAGTGTCAGGTGTTGGGGCGCCAGAAGGGGTACGGACGGTTTGCAGGACGCACTAGCGATGTTGTGGTTGAGGATGTCATCTTCCTTGACGACATTGTCCAATATCTTCTTGGAGCCTTCGTCTAGAACTAGGACTTTCCACTAAGGGTGTTGTTGTCGTTAGTTTCGGTGGATGGCACGCAACGAAGTCGTCACAGATTGGGTGGATCTCACGTCGCCTCGGGTAATGTTCTTGATAGTGTCGATAATGACTGTCGTGAAGCCCGTCAGTCTTTGGAGCGTGTTACAGAGTTAGTTGGGCGACGGGCGAGCTTACCGTCGTGCTGCTCCTGGAGCGCGGAGACGCCCATCGTGGCAAGTTGCCGCGTGGGTAGCGAGCAGCCAGGTGATGTTATGTCGTGGGAGAAGGCGGATGGATTGTTGTCGGTACGAGACAGAGAATCAACGGTTCGTGCCTTGGGCGGAGCTAGGTGCAGTCGGGTGCGCTGTCGGATTGCAGTGCAGGAGGCGGCGCACGAGGCTGGAATGTACGCTGCTGACTTGGAGTAAAATAGGAGTTCGAGAAGTCTGGGCTTCTGTCTTGATTCGAGACTTGTAGAGTCCTACGATGTGTCCAGGGCGGTTGATGTTCTGGGCTGGCGGGGTTTCAAAGATGGAGCAAGAAGCGGTCGCAGTGGTGGGACTTTCAATGCCCAGAGCCCAGAGCCTCGAGCCTGAGCCTGAGCTACCTAGGTACGGAGAGGCGACTCTATGCGGGCAAGGTTATGTGGAGGGGGGGGTGGGGGGGGGGGGGGGGGGTGGAGGGGAAGAGGAGGGGGGTACGTACATGCATTCGGCGGCGTGTCCCCTGAAAGCAGGCCAGGCCAGTCAGGCAAGGTGATCTGTTGTTGATGGGAAGGGGAGCGATAGATGGATGGTGGATGGGATACCTGTCCCGTTGGGCTATCGTCGCCGTGTGGTGTTTGAGAATGAGGAACTCAAGGCACTTGGCGATGGATGTGCTATGCGCAGGCAATCGATAGAACCAGATGCAGTCCCATTGTTACAGGTTATTTCCTTAGTCCTACTCTTGGTCTTGGTCGTGGCCCCAAGTTTATTATTAGGTGGGTATCCGTAGTTTACATACATACAAACGGTCACCCCTTGCCAAATGAGCCCCTTGGAGTTGTGCATCGGCGTATCCCGGTACGGATACTGTAGCGCGGCGGCATTCCCCCCCACCTTCAGCCCCTCAAAGGCTGACGAATGAGGTCACCGCCTTCGCATCTGCCCGGGCATCCTTTAAAGAAACGACACGGGAGGTGATCTGGTACCGATTGCATAAGCTAGTGAGGTTCGCATGGATCATGGCTATCGGGCCTCGATGGGCCCTTGCATATTCCAAGAATACCATCTTTTCCCTTCCTTTCCTACTCGTTTTCATCTTTGTTAAGATTGCCGGCTAGGTGTTCTGTCAAGCTAAAGTAGGAGATTATTCACAATGTTTCTGGTCTGACTGTCGCTGACATCCCCGCCACCCGAACCTTCGTCGCAATGATGGAAAAGAACTTCAACTCCTATTTATACTTTCCACGTGCTTCTCACAATATACAGCCATATAGCCCATTCGGCTGACATGCAAACGTCATCTTCGGTCTCTTTCCCGTCGTTTTCTAAGCACCATATACCACTCTTATCTCCCTCATCTTTACTCAGTCCTCTCTCTGCCTTCTGGTCTCTTTGTCTGTGCAAATACTCGGATGGAAACGAAGAAGCAGATGGGAAGACCGCGACGTGCACCTTGTTCCGTTGTACGTGCTGTACTGCATAATGGAGGAGACAGACACACGTCCATCTGTTTTCCGTTACGGTATGGTATGTAACATCCCGAATTCCAGCTATTGCGCACTCTGCCATGGGTATCTCATTTTTCGTCATAATCCTGAACCAAGGTATCTGTCCATGGCCTCGCTACCGTAGAACATCTGCCGCAGCCTCTCGGCCTTCTTCTTATCCTCGTCGGCCTTTTTCCGGCACTTCTTCGCGTCCAGCGTCTGAGGCTTCTGCTTCTTCTCGACCCTGCTCTTCAAGTTTTTGGGAATGTCTAGCCCGAGGCCATACTTGTCCTCCTTCGCCTTCGTCTTAAGAGGATATTGTATCCCTTGGCCTGCGGCGCCGAGACCCATCCGCGAATCCGGGTCCCAGCCGTGCGATGATAGGTACGTCAAGCCCATGCGCGACCGGTCCAGCGCCGATGGAGGGTGCGAGTGCGTGAGACACACCTGATGAGCAATGGAAGCCTCGTGCTTTAGTATTGTTGCTGAGTTCTTACTGCTATTACTGCCGCCCTTGTTGCTTTCTCCTACGGCATCGTCTTTACCAAGTGGCAAGTCACATATGGCGCATATATGTGCCTCTGGCTTCGCGGCTTCTGGCTTCTTCTCGCTCGGGAGGACAAGGCTGAGGTAGAAATCCCCCACCGAGGAGCCGGACTTTGTGGTCTTGACCGGCTCGTTCGTGCTCAGGGTTGGGTCTGACGCCTTGACGAACTGGATCGGCCTGCGCTGGATACCTGCGCCGAAGGGCCGCAGGTAGTGAAGCGGAACATCTTCTTCCTCGTCATATTCCGTGTCGTCATTGGCCTGTCTCTGCATTTGAGGCTGTCGTCACTCCAGGATCTTCCCCTCTCGAAAAGTACTCGTGAAAGGCCTGCACGGTATCGAGTTGATATCTGTGGTGAGATTTGTTAATGAGATGAAAGCGCGATGTGATGGAGAAGGGTCGATGAATAGGCCCATAGTTGCGAGTACAGAGGGGCAAAAAAAAAGTTATGTCAGCAATCTGAAAGCCAGCAGATGCGGTAAGGGCAGCGGCGGCGGCGGCGACAGCCAACGCAGGCAGGCTTCCTTCCGTCCCCTGCAGACTCTGCAATTAGCGTCCTGTGCCACGCCCACCAGCCTGCCCCTGTCATCGCAATTCGGAAATCCCCCTGGCGGCGCATCATCTCTTCCGCTTTGTTCTAGAAGCAAGTTGGCGGCTTCGCCAGACACTTACTTTCGGACTGTCTGCTTTCTTTTCTGTCCACCACGAGCTTGTTCACGACATTGACCAGCGCCGGAACATCTCCTTACACCGACGATACCCTACATACTTCTTGTCCCGGAATGCTCGGCCATCACAAGTAGTCGCCACTACCGCCACACCTCAACCAAGTCACTCGTTCAACGCGATGCCCCTCGATTTTTTCGGCCACGTGCTCGAAACCGGCCTCCCGATATGGGTAACGGACAACTGGTGGTTCATCACCAAAACCATCGTGACGGTCGCGCTCCTCGTGGCAATCAAGCTATGGAGCGCCGGCTCCTCCAACCCTGCTGAGCGGGACATGCACGGGAGGGTCGTCATGATAACAGGCGGGACATCAGGCATAGGGGCGGCGACGGTGCTGGAGCTGGCCAGACGCGGTGCGCAAATCGTTTTGCTGACGAGCACACCCGTCTCGGACCCCTTTCTTGTCGAGTACATCAGCGACGTGCGGGCGCGGACGAACAACCAGCTCATCTACGCTGAGCAGGTCGACCTCGCGTCCCTGCACAGTATCCGCAAGTTTGCGACCAAATGGATCGACAACGCCCCGCCCCGCCGCCTCGATATGATTGTCCTTTGTGCCGCGACCGTAACACCCGCCGCGGGAAAGAGGTTGCAGACGAAGGAGGGTATCGAGGAGATGTGGATGGTCAACTACCTCTCCAACTTCCACCTCCTCTCCATCCTCAGCCCCGCCATCAAGGCACAGCCCTTTGACCGCGACGTGCGCATCATCTTCGCCACCTGCTCTTCCTACATCGGCGCGGGCTCTCTCAAGGAGCCCCTGAGCAAGGAGACCTGGTCTCCCAGCAAGGCGTACAAGCGCAGCAAGCTTGCGCTTATGGTCTTCGGCCAGGCCTTCCAGAAGCACCTGGACGCCTACAAGCGACCCGACGAGCTGCCCATGAACTCGCGCGTCTACTTCGTCGACCCGGGCTTCGTCCGCACGCCAGGAATGCGCCGTTGGCTCTCGCGTGGCACGTTGTGGGGTCTCTTCATGTACCTCGTTGCCTACCCGGTGCCGTGGCTGCTCCTCAAAAGCCCCGAGCAGGGCGCGCAATCGATCCTTTACGCCGCCATGGAGTCGAGCCTCGTGCGCGTCGGCGGCGGGAAGCTAATCAAGGAGTGCCGATTGGTCGATTTCGCGCGCAAGGACGTGGAGGACGAAGAGGTAGCCAAGAAGCTCTGGGAGGAAAGCGACAAGCTGATCGAGACGACGGAAAAGGAACAGGCTGCCGTCCGGGCGCTGCAGAAGAAGGCGGAGGAAGAAAAGGCCAAGCAAGAGAAGGAGGCAGAGAAGATTAAGGAGGTCGAGGCTCTTGTCGAGGCCATCAAAAAGGGCAAAGAGTCGCAAAAGCCAAAGGGCAAGAAGAAGGCCAAGAAGGACACGTGAAAATAATTCCAAGATCATAGCATATGTACAATATGGTAGACCATATAACCCCGACGCAGCGTCTCCGTGGGTTTTCTGGCTGCATACGCAAGGTCTTCAACGTGCCTCGGCTTGAGCTTTCCAAAAATGGCATTCGGGCGTGGGCATTCTTCACGTCGCTTCACCCAAATTAATTCCGGGGGCACCCACCCCCACCCGTCCAAGTGCCGTGGCTCACTGCTACGGCCGAACTAGGGGAAAGCTTTCCCCGCAACACCGAAGGCGCACAGAGCCGGGATGACGACAGAACCTGGCGGACGTCCCTTACGATAAGACCCCGAGCTCTTCGCCAGCGTTCGCCGACAAAGGCGCAACCCCCCCCCTCCTCCGCATACACACACGCCCACGACCGGTCAGACGCCTCCGAGGTCAATGGCTCCCAATTCATCGCCAGCCATGGCGAACCACGCAGCGGCAGCGACGCTCCAGACGAGGACCCCGCAACTTCAGGCGACCTGGGAGAGGTACGCTGAGACGGTGCAGCACAACGCCTCCACCCGGCACCCCGTCTTCTTCACGGGGAAGCTGCGGCGGCCGCCATCGTCTCTGGGGCCCGGGACGGGGATGAGTCCTGTGGCGCACGGTTACGTCTATCAGGACGGACGGAGGGCCGATGGGAACTCGGCGCCGAAGCTCTGAGAGCGTCGCCACGCATGGGTCATGTCAGTATCGGAGCACACCGAAAAAAGGTGGTCTCGAACGTGAGGGGATGCGTGTAACGTGAGTTTTCCCATAGGGGCTTTTTGGATGTCTAGACCGCTGATCATGGTCTAGAAAGCTGCGGCGTGGGAGGCTCACCGAGCTACCCTACGCAACACCCACGACCACTCAGTCGTCAGGGGCGCGTGACTGTATTCGAGAGCGCTTGTTCAAAGAAAGTTATTATGAGTGCATTTCATCAGGCATATAGCCTCGTAAGGATGTGGCTAATCAACGATGGCCATCATTTGTATCGATATTGCAAAAGTTCTCCTCGTTGATAGGAGGTGACGGCAGGAGCTTATTTTTCATGTATGAAGTGTGATGACCTTGTTTTTGATAAGCTAATGGGCCTTTCGTGTTGGCACAGCCATTATTATACAGAGTTTGCTTGCAGTTTATTTTAGTTGGTTTTTTTTGCTTAATATACGTCTTCAGCTTACTGACTCGCGAGGTAGTTGATCACGAGATCAGCTCGGTGAAACAATCAGGACTGTTTGCTTGGTTATGAACAATGTAGGTAGCCTAGCATACTATATTTATGGCTTGATCCCGCAGATACACACTCAAGGTGTCAAAACAGGTTTCAAATAATTCATTCGTATTCCGACGTGGCTCCTGTATCCACGACTGACAGCCTAGGAGAAATATGTAATAAGGGTGGTCCCCTCGCGGTCATGGATAATGAGATTAAAGCCTCCGTTGTTTTGCTCTCCCATATGCCTCTCCGTTCGCCTTTCAAACCATTGCCCAATCTGGAGTCAGCACCTACAAAATCGAAACAAGACAACTTCGCCATGTGTACAAAACCTGCACGGCTCAAGACACAAAGCGCCGAGCTGGGGACCAGCTCATGCCCCCCGCATCACCAATTTTTTTTATTTTTTTTTCAGTTCTTCACCGCAATTACAATCGCAAGGATAATCAGCACAACGACTAGCGTGAGCAACGCCATGAGTTTGACGTTCTTCCACCACATCTTGCGCTTCAGGCCGCGGCTGCGGACGCGGAACTCGCGGGCGCTGCCGCCGAGACGATCCGTCTTGTCGACGAGCAGGTCAATGCGCTCGCCGCGCTCGAGCAGGCCCTCAATGTTGCGCGTCATGATACCGCGGACGTCATCAATCTCACGCTGGACGTTGGAGATGGCGTCGTCCTTGCCGCCGTTCGTGGTGCCGTAGTCGACCATGAACTTCTTTAGTTGACCATTGTAACTGGCGGCGCCGTAGTTGGGTAGCTCGGCGTAGTCGGTCGACTCGGCGGGGAACTGTTCGAGAAAACGGCGGCGGATCTCGAAGAGGAAACCGAAGGGGATACGGCGGCCCAGTGAGGCATCCGCGATGACGAGGAAGGTGAGCCCGCCAGCGGAAGGGTGGTCTGGGTGATCCGAAGGTGCCTCGGCAATGTAGTGAATGTGGTGCGTACCGTGTGTATAGGTCAGCTTCTGGGGGCTGCTGTGATCGATCTTGGGGAGGATGAGGGAGGCGAGGGATGAGGTTTGCGACGAGGCGGATGTCGTGCATTCGCTGAGGATGGTGTTGTTGTGTGCTATGCACGAGCTACCGGGAGGTCAGTTACGCCTGGTATCGATACGGGCCGATCAAGATGGAAAAGTCAACGGCAACTTACTAAAGCAAAGGGGTAACGGGCGTTGACGAGGAAGCCATGATGATCGTGATAGGTAGATCCACAGGATCCGAGAAGCCTATTTCGAGATTATGCTGGGTCTTTTAGATGCGCCGTGAGTCGACAGGCAGCGATATTCAAGATGCGACGGCGAGTGGCGTACGTAAGGTAGGTAAGTGGTCAAGATCGGAGGTCGGCGTGGAGGTGGGACCTCAATGCGTGATGACGAAGTGGACGGACGGTGGACGCTAAGATGGAGTGGGGCAGCACACAGCCACTCACCAAGGGCGAATCAGAGCTCTGATTGATAAGGAGACAGACCAGGGGTAAATTGTTTCTTATCGGCCCCAAAAATTCAATAGATGCGAGAGTGAGCGTTGATGCTGGGGGAGGCGAAAGGCTGGCTTAAGTCGATGCTAGTGGACATGTTACTCGCATGCCACCAGCCATGATCCGCTGGACAGAACACAACCCACCATGAGACCAGTTTTGCGAGCCGCAAAGATTTGCGCTGCGTGCAGTCGTCTTACTTCGCGCCATGGCTTCGCGACATCGTCCCTGGCCGCCTTCCAGGTGAGTGACGGCGACGGCTGCAGACCGAAGGGAATTGCTTGATTGTCTGACCATTGAGATGGACGTGTAGGCGGTTCCAGCGCAAAACTCCGCGAAACGCTACAAAACTCCCGACCGCCCAAAGTCCAAGTATGACGTCTTTAAATCCATGATCTTTACCCAGTTCAATGTCGTCCTCGAGAATATGGGCGGCTATTCGGAGACCAACCGCGAGCTCCAAAACTTTGGCATCAGAAGCGAACATGGGCTCAACAACGAGATCGCCTTGTTCCGGGAGACGATACAGCGATCGATACAGATGGCCAACAAGGGCGCGATGCTGCGCAAGGAGAACCCGCTCTTCTGGTCTCTGCGGAACGCCTTCATCCGCGGCGATGTCAAGGGCCTGACTTCGGAGCTACGTTATTCGTTCCAGAGCTTCATGATGCGGTCAAAGCTGTCGCGTTCCACACCGAGGCAGAAGAAGCTGGCGGACTTGAGGTTCCCTCAGGAGTGGTTTCCCGCCACGCGGGCCATGCAGCGCACCATTCACCTTCACGTGGGACCGACGAATTCAGGAAAGACGTATCGAGCGTTGCAGGCGCTCGAGAATGCCAAGTCAGGCATCTATGGAGGGCCATTGCGTCTCCTAGCCCACGAGATTTACTCTAGATTCCAGGCCAAGGGCAAGGCTTGTGCCTTGGTCACGGGTGAGGAGCAACGTATACCAGATGCGGATAATTACTTCATCAGCTGCACCGTCGAGATGACGCCGCTCAATAGACTCGTCGACGTCGCAGTGCTAGACGAGATCCAGATGATTGGCAACTCAGAGCGAGGCTGGGCCTGGACCCAGGCTTTCCTCGGTGTCATGGCGAAGGAAGTCCACCTGTGTGGTGAGGAACGTGTCGTCGATCTCATCAAGTCGATATGCTCCAGCATTGGCGACAAGTGCATCGTCCATCGCTACCAAAGACTGAGTCCCTTGCAAACCATGAAGGAAAGTCTTGGCAACGACCTCACAAAGCTCCAGAAAGGGGATGCGATCGTCGCCTTCACTCGAATCAACCTGCACGGTCTGAAGAATGCCATTGAGGAGGCCACTGGTCGCCGTTGTGCCATCGTCTACGGGTCTCTGCCACCGGAGACTCGAGCGCAACAGGCAGCTCTGTTCAACGACCCCGACAATGACTACGACTTCCTCGTTGCTAGCGATGCCATTGGCATGGGTCTTAACTTGGAGATCAAGCGTGTCATTTTCGAGACCGCGACAAAACACGACGGCACCCAGTACCGTACTCTAACAACCTCCGAGGTCAAGCAGATTGGTGGCAGAGCAGGCCGGTTCAAGACAGCCAGGCAAGCGGCAACAGACCCCAACGGCACCGCCTCTATTGAGGAGAAGAAGATGGGCTATGTCACGACGCTAGATAAGGAGGATTTGCCAATCATTGAGAAGGCCTTCAACTCCGAGACGGCACCGCTAGAGGTGGCCTCCATCCATCCCCCGGCCTTCATCGTCGAGCAGTTTGCGGAATATTTCCCTCCCGACACGCCTCTCAGCTTCATCCTCCTGCGACTGCGCGAACTCGCCCCGGTATCAGAGCGATACACTGTCAACATCCCCGAAGTCAACCTGATGGTCGCCGACGTTATCCAGGAGTTCCCGATGACGATACAGGAGCGTATCACCATCCTTCACGCGCCCATCTCAATGCGCGAGAGTGGTCAGAAGGAGATAGTCCAGGCCATCGCCAAGTGCATCTCCACACGTAGCAACGGTGCACTGTACGATATTGAGCCCATCAACCTAGAGCTTCTCGACGCGACGCTCGAGGACTTCAACAACCAGGGCAGGCGCTATCTCCACTCGATCGAAACGCTTCACCAGGCCATCACGCTCTATCTCTGGGTGAGCTATCGCTTCCCCAACATCTTCACGAGCCAGGCATTGGCGTTCCATGTCAAGGACGCCGTAGAGGAGAAGATTGAGTTCTACCTCGAGAACAACACCGTCTTTGACGCTGCTGTGCACGGCAGGACCCGTGAGCGGCAGCGCAAGGCGGCCCTGCAGAAGCAGCTGGAGCAAGAGCTGCTCAAGGGAGAGGAGAGCCAACGCGCCGAGGATGAAGTCTTTGTCAATGGAGAGCCTTCCGACGAGATTCCAGAGCAGTGGAACTATCTGAGCCACGAGGAGCCCCTTGTTGAAGATGAGAGTGAGTACGAAGAAGTGCAAGACCGGCCACAGAGCGAATCTGCCACCGGTCAACAGCCTTCGTGACGAACTATTCTGAGAAGGCCCCCGAGGTTTACTTGGATGTACAACCCTGTAATATTTTAAAGTGTATAGATCAAGCTTAGAGGGACGATGGTCACCAAACGCTCCAATTGCGCAAAAACGGGGGGGGGGGGGGGTTAAGACGTGTATAACACTATCACGGTATAAAAAATGAAGTAGAAAAAAAGAGGAAATACAGGCGCCACTCTAGCTAAGACAGCATTTATTCACAGTATACAGACAGACATCTCTTCCATGCGTTGTTCATCAAAAACAGACGAGTAACAATCTTGGGTGAATGAGTGTCGTCCTGACTCAACATAGCTTGGCTTGGCTCGTTTTACCCCAAGCTCTTTCAGCACCCCGCAGCCAAGCTTTCACAGCTCCGTGGCGCACCCGGTTACCTCACTGACCCCACCATTCAGATGCCTTGGAGGGGCAAACAGCTCTTCCCAGTCTACAACTCCGATCTACATTGAATAACTTAATCTCTTACAAAGCAACTCCTCGGCCCTCGACAAGCGACAAACACCAAACATTCAAGCCGTTCTAAACTGCAAACCGAACGAAGCGTTGAGACCCCGCTCCATCACAAAAGAACGAAAGAAAAAAAAACCCCAATCCCCAGATAGCCGACGCCCGCCAAGATGACCTCGACCAACCCCGACCCCTCCGCCGCGGCGCCCGCCTTCATTCCCCTCGAGGCGAACCCGGAGCTCATGACCTCACTCCTGCACAAACTCGGCCTCTCGCCCGCCCTCTCGGTTCACGACGTATACTCCCTCACCGACCCAGACATGCTCTCCTTCGTGCCCCGCCCCGCCTTGGCCGTCCTCCTCGTCTTCCCCGTCAGCGCCGCCTACGAGAGCCACCGGCTGGCCGAGGACTCGCTGCTGGAGGAGTACAAAGGCAAGGGGCCGAATGAGCCTGTTGTATGGTTCCGCCAGACGATCCGCAACGCCTGCGGGCTGATGGGATTGTTGCATGCGGTTGCCAACGGACCAGCTCGGGAGTATATCCGTATGTCCACCCCCCTACCACTTCACTCTTTCCACCTATGCCTCTCCATGACTAGATGATCACGAGCTTCTTGAAAAGGAAGGCCATCGCTGACCCTCTGTTCACTTTTGCGATGCAGAAAAGCCCTCCGATCTGAACACTCTCATCGAGAACGCCGTGCCCCTCGACCCCGTCGCCCGCGCCCAGCTGCTCGAGAAGACCCCGGCCCTGGCGACCGCCCACCGCGAGGCCGCCTCGCAGGGCGCCACCGAAGCCCCCGAGGCCTCGGACGATGTCGACCTGCACTACGTCTGCTTCGTGAGGGGCGACGACGGCACCCTGTGGGAGCTCGACGGCAGGCGCAAGGGGCCCCTGAACCGCGGTCAGCTGGACGCCGGCGAAGACGTGCTGAGCGAGAAAGCCCTCACCTGGGGGCCGCGTAAGTTCCTCGAGAGAGAGGGGGCGGATCTCCGGTTCAGCGCCGTCGCGTTGGCGGGGTCCCTTGACTAAGGAGTTATTTATGTCTGGGCGAGAGCAAAGTACAAAAGGCAAGGATACCATTTGGCGTTTAGGACATGGGAAATACGGAGACGCTCGATACGGGTTGAATACGGCATGAAGCATTCTTGGTCGAAGTTTCTAGTTACTGTGCTATTCAGGAAGCATTCTCTGGATGGCTACACATTACATAGGGGCATGTTTCCAAAGGCCTTGCGTGAACGTAATAAACTAAGAAAGCCCATATACCGTCAACTCGAATTCATCTCCAGAGCTGCTGTGAGGACTCCTGGGCTCCGGACTTTTGCCACAGCTGGCTGTCCGCCTTCCGTCCCCCGTTGTCTTGCCTTTTTTCTGGCGCGGAGCGAGTCTTTGGGACCACAGGTGGTAGAGCGATGGCCTGGCTATGGACATGCGGCTGATTTACGAGACCTGCATCTGGGGACAAGATTAGTGTTGGGAGATTGTAAGTGCGTGAAGAGAAGATCACTTGCCTGGAGCCATAATTTTACCAAATTCGGTAGAGGACTTCCTGTGCGCCCGGGAATCCGTGCCAGGGTACCTGGCCATGTCCAGCTCAACAACAGGAACAACCTCGTCCGGGATCGAATTGAACTCCGTCTTTGACTTTCGATGACTATCTGCTGTTTGGTTCCTTGTAAGGCCGGACTGGTTTTCAATGGCTTCCGGTGAGGACTGTAACTTCGCATCGTTGTGCCATGCACGGCCCCTTGTAATAGAAGATGACATTTTCGACTGAATATCTCCGGAGTTGTAGTCGTCCGCTCTCTCGGGCTCCTGTGTACTTAATGTATTGTTTCTGTCAAAGGTAATGGACTTGGAGGACGCGCCATCTCCGGCAGGCGTAGTGACGGATGTGCTGTGCTCGGATGCGAGATCATTATGAGTAAGGGGATGCGGGCTGTTATTCTTCCTTGTGTCCTCGATAATGGGAGTGCCGTCGTGCTCGGTGAAGAAGGGCACCTAACCTTGTAGTTCGTCAGGCTGGGTGGGCAGATCGTTGTCCTTGGGATTGGTCATTTTGAATGGACGAGCAAAGGATGAGTCCTGCAGGAGACTATCGCACTGCGGCGAATTTCCAGCCTGGCAGCTCGTGAATCGCAACTTTAGGAGTAGGAATACAGGACGAATAAGAGGCTTTTTAGAGGACAGGGCTTTACGGCGGTGCGAACGCAGAGAGACGACGGCTCAATAGGTGGGAATCAGAAAGGCGGAGGTGAGGACCAACATTGAAGCGGGGCGATCCAGAAGCCAAGTGACACCCGCATGTCTTTTCAACGGCAAGTCTCTGGCTTCCTTAAGCAGTCACTCAAAATTCCTGGGAAGGTGCGTGTGAGAGATCCTACTCTTGTTGTCCCCCCTCTCTTGCTTCGTCACTTATCAATTAGTTCTCCTCTTGCCGTCCTGGTTGGTGTCCATAAGGGACCGAGATACAGTAATGCAACCGTAAGATGAAGCAAAGGCGAAGGACACGGGAAAAGTAGAGGTCATCAAGTAGGTAGTAGGCAAATAGGTCGCTCTGGAGCTTTCCTTGTGTCATACATGTGCCAAGTATACTTGGTCTCCGACATGTACACTCGCAAGGCTGTCTGGGACATGGCAAGGATCCAGGTAAATAAGTACGGTAGCCAACCCGCACATAGACAGGAAGGAGCCTGCCTTCTTCCTCTCTTTTCTTTCTTTTTCTCTTTGATGGGTTCTTTTCCCTTTTTTTGAGTTGACGTCCCGGCTGCCAGTGAGTCAAGTGACAGCAACTAGCTCAATGAGAAGCCGGGGAAAGCATCGAGCTAAGATTAGAAATGTCGATAGGCCTATAAGTTAGCAACCAATAGTCTCTTGGTGACTGAGTAACCCGGATGAATTTCGATCTGAAATTGCAGATTGATTACCGGTAGGCATTGGCCAACTAGCCTGACATGGACAGTTCCAAAGCAGGCGGCAGCAATAGCAGCGCTGCGGCGACATTTGTCCGCGCCAGTCGAGCCATTCGCAAACAATATGGCTTGTCGGCCAAGGTCATGGGTCTCTCCTCAGTAGGGCTTCGAGAGCCTCAACTTATCTCTTGATTATCCTTCACGATGGTCCGATATACACAGGCTGTCATATACGGCATGCCAATTGGGGTCCCACGATATGTCTCATCTGGAAGCTTGTTTCCCCTCGCGCTCCAGGCTGCTAAGAACCGGTTTCGTCCCGCTTAATTTCCTCAAGCTTAACGGCAGATAACGTGCACCTCCTGCAGTTTGACATGTCCGCTCGGACGCTGCAGTGTTCAGCGTTCGGATGTCGAACGAGCACCGGGCACGGGGCGCTATCCAAGCGGCTGTACCGGCTAAGATGCGCGAACCCGGACATAGCTGCGCCGGGCTGTGGGTATTCCACGATAAGAGGTATGGACGGAAAAGATGGCGCCTGGTAGCGTGGACAAACTTGGCCATATCTCGGGCCATGGACCCTCGACATGGCAGACCTGGAAAGCTTTACTTCTCGACCAGTCTCCTGTGCAGTCCAGAACAGGTGTGACAGGCTGAATGGCAGAAAGTCGAGATACGACTGAGACTAGCACAAGGAACGGCCCTGTTGGTGACGAGAGCTCGGATAGAACGCGGCCATTTCGTCCCACGTGGTGGTGGCTGATCGTCGCTAGGAGGCTATTCAGATCGCGGTGCGGAGGTTTGAGTTTGCGTATGTTTAGCTAATGATGAATGAGCTAACCCGAGCCCCCTGAGTTGAGGCTTCAACCGTCTGCCTTTGGGAGCAGTAGCGACAAGCCCTTGAGGCCGGATGGGCACATCGGTTCAAGCGGCTGGATAGTGCGTTGAGTTAAAGGAGAAGGGTTTCGATGATGGCCCATGCCGCTCCCCCTCCCTCCCCCTTGATCTCTACACTACGTACCTACGGAGCGGACGTATATGCATGCAACCGCAAAACGACTGTTTCCCCTCTCGACACCATTGACGTGTCAACATCTGCTGTCTCAATGAATGGTCACGGTCGTCAATTTCCTGCCTGCTGGAAGAAGAAATATAAGTAAAACAGAAAGGAGAAAAGCAATGACGGTAGCTGCATACTAGTTACTAGTAGTACCTGCTTCGGCTTCCATGTCATGCAAGCCAAACTGATACGCGCCCAGGATTCGTTGCATAATAGTGTAATATGGCATGACTAAGATGGTCGTGCGGAAAGCACGGGAGCAGAGCAAAGTAGAACAGAGGCAGAAGTCCCTAATGTGAATGAATGGAGGCGAAGGGCGTTGCACCAACTCCACCATCGCCTCCAGCCGATTCCACGAAACATTGTCACAGCGCTTCATTTACGACGCTATTCGTGGGTCGCTTCGTTTGACTACCACTCATCATGGACCAACGGGCGGCATGCTGCACGGAACCGATAGACTGCTGTAAATGCGCACCACCGCAACTAGCGTCAAAGTTCCAATGCGATTGAATATTTGGGGTGGTCAACCTGAGCAGTCGTTTGCATTGCGTTGCGTCTCGGGACTCGCCCTCGACCATTTCGGTCATACTTCCCTGCAAATCGGATATGAACATGACGGTGAACCAAGCTGGCCGTCTTGCCGGCTCGCACTGGACTTTTCGGATGCGGCATTCACCTAAACCCAATCGCAGCCAGCACTGCCCACGGGACACCAGGGGCAAACCCCTGCACGATCTGCTGCCTCCCGCTTCCAATCAGCGGGGTCACAGGATATGTGTCTCGCAGCGACGCAGGCACACATCAGATAGCGGGTGCAGGTGGCTTGCTTTATCTACCTCGACCCAGGCAAGACAGAGAGGCGCGTTGACTCAACGAGCGGAGAGAGGGAGAGAATAAAGACAGGGAGAGAGGGGGGGGGGGGGGGGGGGGAGAGGGGGTGAGGAGGAGGAGACAAAGTGCAACAAACTGCCGCCAATACCGTTCCATTGATATAGCATACATGACTTGACAATGCTACACTGCTGTTACCTCGACACACCTCTCAACCACAGCAACGATCAAGGAGGCGAAACCCCGTCGAGCTCGGATCCCAAACGGTTACGGTAGTCAACCGACAGTGCATGTCATCAAAGTGCTGCTGCCCTTCCTTGCTGGGTGAGACCAAGGGAACAAAGCCATTTGCTGTTGACGGGCGCCGTTTAACAGGAAACTTCTTTGACTCTGTTTCTGCCGCACACGCTAGCCTCGAGGGCGATCAGGTGGTGCTACCAATCAAAGAACCTGGCAAACGGGCTTGTTTCCAACCCACCCCGATTCCTTTTTGTTTTTTCTTCTTTTCTCCGATGCGAAACTAACTGGCATGCATCTCTGACCCCTGATCCCTGACCCCTGACCCCTAACTCCCAGCGATGGGCCCCCATGTTTCTTCTTCTTCTTCTTCCCCCCCCCCCCCCCCTGCCGACCATAAACATTATCAGTCATACCTACATACTAGTAGGTATCCGTACTTACAATGTACATACATACCTACTTCAGCATGGTTGACGCGGCATCTTCACCCCTAGAAACAGCTTCTATCGAAATTTGGTCGTTTTAATAGGTGCAATCATATTACCCTAGTCCAGGCACAGTTCGCTTCGGAGACTACTCTGTAGGTAGTGCATCTGCCTCGGCTCTGCACCGGCTGGTCACACAACGGATTGATTGTCATTTTCTGGGCAGGGTTTGCCACTGATCCAAGCAGAGCATCATGGATGGACCCCCCATTTAAACTATCTACAGTACATCAAGTACTGTAGTTCAGTGTGCTGTGCCTACCTTACAGTGCACCGGCACCCGCACCGGCCACCTAGGCCGGGATTTTTCATTCTTATTTTATTTTTCTACTTTTCGTCTCACACCTTTGGCCGCTGTTACATCGGGTGAAAAGGTCCTGACGAGCCAAGGAAGACTGGACCACGGAAATGGCCTTGAAGACTGTTTCGTCCTGCCCTGTGCCCTTTGCCGCCACTTTCGCACGGGCCCGCGGTCCATCCCACCACTCATTCCACCTTTGCCCCGTCCGACCATCTAGTGTAAACCACCTACCTCTATATTGTGTACGGAGTACACCTAGGAGTACCTACCTACCTAGGTACTGTCCGTTTGCTCACCTGGTCCCGGAACTTTAATGTACTATTTCGTCTGAGCAGCAGCTCGAACCCTTGTCACTATCGCACCCACCAAGCCTGCTCTCAGCCCCTCATGTCCGGGCCTTGGCCAAATCCCTTTTGCCGTTCGGGATTTTGTTTGCCTTGCAAACCAACACAGGATCTCGTGCCTGCGGCCATCCCTGCTCGGCTCCGAGAGATATGGAAATGAGTTGATCGTTGACAGCCAGGTATCCCACAAGGTACTCGGATCACCGGGGAACATGCTCCTCTGTGCGAGCCGCAAAGTATGCATATCGGCCTGTCTATATGGCGGGACATGTCTTCTACTAGCCAGGGCCTTTCGCGCTTGATGCGGCCTCGCAAACGCCCGACCTGCTCCCTGAGAGAGTATTGACTATTACAACCCTCGTCGGAGCTGCTGAGAGGGCCGTTCAAAGACGCGACGCTACGGCTCCCTGCTTCACCGTGTGCCGCTTGACGCAGCCACGCTCAGGTACCTACCTAAACGATGGATCGTGTCGTATGCATCGTCTCGACTGTACGAAGCCCTCGACCTGGACTGGCCCGGACCCGAAACCCGCTTTAGCGTCAATCATTTTCCACCCACCTGCTCCGCTTCCCTCCTGATGTCTAGTAGTATACCGAGTATTGTACGCACACTTCATTCAGCCTTAGCACTCCGACACACGACTCGTCATGTCGCATCGTCCCTCCTTTTCTTTTTCTCTCTAGCCTCTCAATAACTGACGCCATCTGGCCCACCTGTTTGGCTTTTAGACCCTCCCCTCCCCCATCTACTGGCTCTAATCCTTCTCTTCTACGCCCGCCGTCTACTCTACTCCATCCTCTCGTCACTTCCATCTTGTATAATCGGCAGAATCTCGGTCTCTCACCATCTAAGCGCTTGCTTGTTTCCTGTGTTCCTGGCTTAGCATCAGTCTTCCTATCGGCCTCTGAGCTTCGTCTGTTGGGTTCGTGCTAGCTGCTTGGCCTGCGTGCCTCGCCACATGGCGGGCGACAAATCGCAATAATGGGCTTCCTGAAGTTCTTCTCTTCCAAGAGGTCACCCAACAAGCCGGAAAACGAGATCAAGGCCCAGGCCTATGATGCCACCACTGCTTCCCTCCCCCCGCTCCTAGGTAAGACTACAATTACACTCCCATACACTTCACGCCCATCCAGCTTACACACAGTCAGGAACATATCCCGTGGCTGGAAATGGCTCAACAGCTGTCTTTGAGAACTTGCAACGCTCTCATTACAAAATGAGCGAGACCAATTTGTCTTTTATTACGGATTTCGACGTCGCAGCTCCGGCCCCACCAGTTCCTCGATTCCGCGATACCAGTGCCCAACGTCCCAGTTCCGCTCCTGGCGGCGACTGGCGAAACTTATCTCCAACAAGCAAACCGGCGAGAGACTCGTCGAGGGGCCTGCCTCTCTCGTTCCGAAAACCGCGCATCGGATCACTATCGTCAACAAAGTCAGGCTTCTCCCCCACGCCGAAGCAACGCGCCGATCTCTCGGCGGTTCCCTTCGAGGGCGACTTGTTTCAGCCTCCGTCAGCTCCGTTTTCACATTCTCGTCATATGTCTATGCAAAGTACTGGTACAGCCGCGAGGGGCTTTATCGACCTTCTCGACGCTCAGTCAGAAATCAAGCCATCCGGCTTCCAAAATCGGGTCAAGGCGTCGGGGGCCCGCGACTATGGCGAAGATGTTGCTGACAGGAACATTGGCGAGAACGGTGTTGACCTGGCATCCGAGAGGGTCAAGGAATTTTACGCCACGAACACAAATTCACGACCTCAGACCACACGAGCTTTTGCAAGGGACAAGAGGGAGACATCCGTAAATCCTGGGCGTCGCGAGTCCACGGTCAATGAAAGCCGCACCAAGTCGTTGACCACGTCGATCGGCCAAGTCTCATTTCGGTCCAACATATTGAACCCCGAAAGCTCTCTTAGCCGCCAACCCATCATGGAGTCCGTTGCCAGGCCGGGTAGCGTCAGGCGAAGGCAATCGTTGGGCGCTTACATTCCAACTGCCCCCGTCTCGTTTGTCTCCTCATTCGTCCCATCCGGACCTTTGAACAGTCACCCCATGACCTTTGGTGCAACTGCCCCTCAAATTGCCGCGAGGCACCAGAAAAGACGCTCTACGCTGGATGGAGACGCCTCATTGGACACACTGAGCATACTATCGACTTCGGGTGGCGGACTGGCCGAGTCTTCGTTGTCGCCAAAGACTTCACAGAGGCCACCTTACCTGATCAAGCACAATTACTCGTTGCCTGTCCAACAACGACCGAAGACATCGGGCCATAGTTATGTCGAGTCATTCCAGTCGATGAGGCCGCCATCCCGCGGAGGGTCAGTAGCTAGTTCCACATTCTCCTCCCCAACCCAGAAGAAATCGTCATCCAAACGTCACACCTTGTTCGCGAGAGGCGCAACTGCCCGCCATACCGAGTGGCCACGGAACGCGAAGCTCGATGAACCGATTGAAACAAGAGGATGGGTCGGTCGAGTTGAGGTTGAGAGCTTTGAAAATTCCGCGGATGTGGCCTCGTCAGCCCCTTCACCGCGTTAGTGCCTTTACCGATTTCCTCGTCATCTTTTGTCAACATCTTCGTGAGGCCTTCCTGCTGACATGCCCGGTTGTAACAGATGTGATGAGAAGTGGCCGCTTGTGGCTTGAGGAACCAGAGGACTCGTGTCAGAGCCCGAAGGCCCCTTTGTCGCCGCGCGGGACAGGTACACAGGAAGAGACCCTTGAGCATTTGTCGATGAGAAAAAGCAGCTTGCGTCAGTGGTCCATGTCGTCTTCGTCTCCGACCATGTCAAGCACTAGCAGTTTCCAGTGCACGCATTCTCGACGCACCACGACGACCTCGATTGATTTGGCAACCAAATCGTCGCTCAGGAACGGCAGCCAGACCTCGCTGCATAGTGAGACAGGCGATTTCGCCGAGTTTTGCCCAGCCTTCGAGGACGCTCTGCCGGCTCCCATGGACCTGGCCAACCCTGAGACAAGCTTCAACATGGATGACTACCTGTCATCCGACGACGACGTCGACGCGGACTCGTTCATCACCACCCGTGAAAGGGAATCAGTCCATTTCGGCGGCAACGAGGAAGAACTTCTATTTAGCGTCGAGGGTTACGGTGAACAGGGATTGCAGCTGCCAGGACTTTTTGACAGTATTTCTAAATTCTCGGACCCCAGCGCCACGTCACCAGAGCACTCGAATAAGCGGTTCACGCTGAGTAACCCTAGTCGGTTCGCCCGCAGAGCATCGCTGGACTCTTGGGACGAGGCTCCTATCTCGCCCGTCAAAGAAGAGGAAGACCAGGAGGACGACGACAGCCTTTTCGATATCCCAATTAGATCGGATCTGGCCCTCGGCCGCAGAGGCACACGGAGGATCTCGGCGCTTGGGACCATGTACCAGAGCGCCTATGAGAATCGGGAGGAGGACAAGGCTGACATGTGGATGGCCGTACGGATGCGGAAGGAGGCCAAGGCGCGGGAGCGGGAGACGGTCAGGACCAGCAAGTCGCTGCAGAGGCTGGTATGAGATGTGGAGGGAGAAGCTTGGTGGTAGCGCGTGAGAGTGAGCGGTGCTATCCTGACTATATGGTCATCACCGTCTACACTTTTTCCTATCCAAGGTGGTTCATGTTCTGGAAAACGGGGTTGCTTTTCTTTTTCTTTATTTTTCTCCTCTCGCTCTCTTTTGAGCTTTTAGACTACTACTATACGCCCGGAGTTTGAGTGAGCTATACCCGGGGGGCCTTTTGTTTTTGGACGATACGAGCAGGGAAGGCAAGCGAGCCTAGCTGGATTTTAGGGGGATACAGGGACGGAACCACTGTCTGCAGCGGAGGGAGTCTAAACCCCAAAGGAGATAGATGCAGCCGATGCGGTGAATGATGTCTTGTCACTTCATCATATAATAATAGAGCAATATGATGCTATCTAAGGGCTGTACTGTGTCCGTTTGCCCATCCTTGTCACATCCTCATAGATACTGCTACCATTCGGCTGTCGAAAGCCTCGGCGAGACACGCTACTGCCAAGGGTTTGTGTTAGTTACATTGACGCCTTTTAAGGATATCGTCTACGTATAGAAAACACGATCCATGGCCATATTTGCGTTCTGTACGGAAAGAAAGGAAACGGTGGCTCTCAGACCAGCAAACAGCCCATGATCCAGGTCGTTGCGTCCGCACATCGAGGCAAACTTTCAGAAGAAGGCAAACATGCGCTGATGCATCCTATCGTCGCCGCCGACGCCGAAGTAAGTGCCCCAGTCCAGTTCCGTGAGCTGCTCGTCGCACCACTCGAACAGGTCCATGATGCCGTCCGTTGTGGCCGAGGGTGTGCGGGTCGCGGGCCCGGTGGCGGCTCCGGGTTCGTTAATCTCGGCGGTGACAGCCTCGTAGAGCGCCGCGACGGTTTCAGGGGTGCAGTCCGAGGCGCGCATCCAGGGGCGCATCTCGGCGAAGACCTCGAGGGCCTTGACGAGGCCCGCGCACCAGGCGGCCATGGGTGCTGCCGGCGGCATGCTGGCAGTGGCCAGTGAAGGTATCGGGCAAACGGCCGGTTTCTCCTGTTGCTTTTGCTGCTGCTGCTGCTGGCAGGACGTCTGAGGCCGTGGCCTTGGGCGAGATACGGCAGGAAGCAGCGAGACAAGATGAGCAGCACGCTCAAGTAACGGTTGCGCATGAGCTCGCGGGCCATCGTCAGCCGGGGCGGGGAGTTCGCCGGGTCCCGCATGTACTCGGGCAAGGAGGCGTGCCACTCCCTGAGCTCGCGGTCGAAGGCCAAGGCCTCCTGGGCGGGCGAGCGGGCATGCTGGGCGAATCGGTGCTGGATCCGGTCACATATGTGACAGAACAGGCAGCTGGCCCGCAGAGATGCGGCGACGTGGTCGTCGGGTAACAACGACGACGGCAGGAGCGTGTCCATGGTGCTACCATCCCAGCGGTCGCAGGTCGGACGGCCCAGGGTCATGCTCGCCCAGGTGTCGAGACAGAACAGGCTCCACCAGGTGCGGCGGCGAGGGACGGGTTTCCGATGCAGGCCGAGGGCTATGGCGACGCGATGGGCGGCGCCGAGGCCGGCGTAGGCCATGTTGGGAGAGTTGCGGTAGTGGAGGTAGTAGCCGCCTAGCAGGCAGAGGGCCTGGAGGCTCTCCATGTTGCCGGAGCCGAGGGAGTCTATGTCGAGGTGGGCGCGTGCCTGCTTGTAGTAGTGTACGTGCAGCGAGTCGCTGCCGGAAGCGACGGAGCCCAGGGTGCAGACCATGTTGAGGAGGGCCAGCCAAGAGCCGTCGTGACGAGCCCCAGAGGCAAGGGTCCGCCAGAAGTCGTCCTCGTTGAGAATCGGGGTGACGGGATGGACGTGGTCAAAGTAGAACTCGATGCAGCGCAGCTCGCGCAGAGGGTTCTGTCCGGCCCCGGCCCCGGCCCCGGCCCCGGCTCCGGCGAGGGACAGCAACGGCGGCAGCTAGGATTGATTCTGGGCGTCATTCCACGTCTTGACGCGCTGGGCCGTGTGCTCTTTCGCGGCAGGGCAGAGGCGGAAGATGGCTCTCAGGACGGCGCTGACAGAGGTGACGCCAAGGTAGTCGCTGACACGGACGGTGGTGGGCTGCTGCGCGGACTCCTCCCAACGCCTGTCGTTGGCGGCTTCCCCGCTCTCGGAGAGCTGCGTCGGGTCGTCCGGACCATCGTCCTCGTCCTCGTTCCCGTCTTCTTCCATAGCAGCGGCTGAGACGACACCAGCTTGTAAGAGGCCGACCTGTGGAACGGCGGGACGTATACCAGAGAGTGAGTCTCCTGGTAGCAACGCGAGTAGTTTCACCCGACTCTTTCCGAGCAGGTCGTCCACGAAGACGTCGGGGAAGAGTTCCTACAGGACACGGGACTGGGAGCGGAGCTTCTCTGCAGTCTTCTCACGAGTACTGATGGGTGCATGTTAATCGTAGTCGTCTCGATAAAGTAAGCCCCGGGCTTCATAGTTATGCCAGGGGTCATGAGGGTTGAGGAAGTTGAGCCAGAAGGCCATTTCATACTACGCTTCAGGGAGCGACGACGAAAGCACCAAGGTCGGAAATGGCGCAGTCTTCCGCTCTATCCTCTTGACACCACGAGTCTTCGCAGATTGTAGCCGATGCTCTCTTTCAACCAACATCCTCGGAATCCCTGTTGGAATGCCCGTCTATGTCTCGCCTGCGGCCATGGCCAAGCTGGCCCATGCTAGCGGCGAAGTGGGTATCGCTGCAGCATGCTCAAGATTCCGGGGGCTACAGATCATCAGCAAAAACGCATCCATGTCTCCTTCCGCGATTGTCCAAGCTAGACCACACGCGGTTTTTGCTTAGCAATTATACGTCCTGAAGGGCATCGAGGCAACCGAACGAACTCTGGCGCAGATCCGGGCCATTCCTCAAATCAAGTTCATCGTCCTCACACTCGACGCGCCCTTCCCCGGCAAGAGAGAGGCAGACGAGCGGTTCAAGATGGCCGAGGTCGCGGGGGGAGCGGCGTCTCAAGTCTAGGGCCCAGAGTCGGGTCTGACATGGCAAAAGGCGCTGGAGTGGCTCATCAAGCAGACCTCGCTTCCGATCGTTCTGAAGGGCATCCAAACACACGAGGGCGCATATGCCGCGACCATTTTCCCGAGCATGAAGGGCATCGTCATTTCGAACCACGGCGGACGTGCGTTGGACACGACGATGACGCCAGTTCAGGTGCTGTTAGAGATCGAAAGCACTGTCCACATGTGTTGGGTAGGATTGATATCTTGATCGACGGCGGCGTCAGGCGAGGGACGGATGTCGTCAAAGCGTTGGCTTTGGGGGCCAAGGGCGTTGGCATCGGCAGAGCGGCGCTGTACGGTCTTGCGGTTGGCGGACAGGCAGGGGTCGAGAGAGCGTTGCAGAGTGAGTAACACAGAAACAACCGGCGGCTGTAAAACCAAACGCTGACCTTGGTTCGCTTCGTAGTTCTCGGCGATGAGATAGTTACCTCGATGAGGCTACTTGGAGTTGAGAGAGTTGACCAACTTGGGCCGAGACACGTAGGTTTGACTATTTAACAGATACGGATTACAATCTCTTTCAAGATGAAGTCACTGACGAGATTACGTAGATGAACATGGTTGGGCTGCATTCGCGGCTCTATGGCGGTCCACCAGGTCTTGAGGAGACAGATGCAGAATTGAGGTACAAATTGTGATACCTAAGAACGATGATACGATACTCGTCAGTGACGGAATGTAATTTTGTTAGGAACGGTTATTCATGTTAGCAAAACGTCATGAGCTTGGCAGGCATCAAGTCCTACCTGCATCACATACAGTACTATCAGTCGTTGATAAGAGAGCAGCATCACTGAGGTCCTAAAGTGCCAAATCTTTGGGGGTTTTTAACCTTCGTTATCACTAGCTGCCAGGTGCCTCACCCATCAAGCTCGAGACTCAGAAACGGGGCCCTTGAAGGAAGGTTTTTTGATTGTTCATAGGTGCCGAGATCAATCCTTAAGAAAACCTCAAGAGGTATCTGAATGATCGCCTTCCCCCCCCCCCCCCCTTTTTTTTTTTTTTTTTTAATAAATCTTATACGCCAACAAGATCTTCTTGCGAGCATATATAGCCAAAAAACTGCACGTCCCGAGATTGGCAACTTTCTCAACACACAATGAAGTACATTCATTATAGGTGACCCGTTTGGGTGCGCAACCCCTAGCATGCTTATTCAGCCATCGGCATTCATGGTTCAAGATCGCCGATAAGATAAGCTACGGCCAGACCCGCCCCTCCAGATTTTTTTTCTGATTTGGCACTGGTTCGGTCGCCTCCATCCAAGACTTCTACAGATTTCCCATAACGTCGTATATCATTGCGACGCCGACCGATCCCACGATGAAAAGAAAACAACCCGAAGATACCGTTCCCGCGGGTAAAACTGAGAAGCGCGCGAAGACAGAACAGTCTACTACCACTGAGCTTTCCTTCGCCGATCTTGGACTCGACACACGGCTGGTTCAAGCCGTCGCCGCCGAGAGCTTCAAGGAGCCGACCATAGTGCAGCAGAAGGCTATCCCGTTGGCCCTGGACGGAAAGGATGTCGTTGCAAAGGCTCCCTGTGGCTCTGGAAAGACGGCAGCGTACGTTCTGCCAGTGCTTTCTAGCATTCTGAAGCGCAAGACTGTACGTAAACGCTTCTTCCTGTCAATTGGATCCATCTGACTCTTTAGACCGACTCTTCACCCGCCACAACCGCCCTCATTCTTGTGCCGACTCGCGAACTCGCCGACCAAGTTCTCAAAGCGATCGAGAAGTTCTCAGCGTACTGCGCGAAAGATATTCACGCCATCAAGCTTGTCGACAAGATCTCCGACGCTGTCCAGCGCTCCCTCCTCTCCAACTTCCCTGACGTCGTCATTTCCACACCAGCCACCGCGTGGCGCAACATCGTTTCCGAAGCGTTGTCGCTGGGAAATTTGACGTGCATGGTCCTTGACGAGGCCGACCTTATCATGTCTTACGGCTACAACGAGGACCTGGAGAACATTGCAAGAAAGCTGCCCAAGGGTGTCCAGTTGACGATGATGAGCGCAACACTTTCAACGGATGTCACTAAGCTTCAAGGGATTTTCGGCAGGAAACCCACGGTATTGGATCTTGACGACGAGGAGACGGAAGGGGACAGTCTTTCTCAGTTCGTTGTCAGGTATGTCACTTGAAATAAGCGTCCTTGCTCGTTGTGTGTTAACAGTTTGCAGTTGCGGAGAGGACGAGAAGTTTCTTTTGGCGTTCATCATCTTCAAGCTCAAGCTCGTCAAGGGCAAGTGCCTGATTTTTGTCAACGACGTCGACCGTTCGTACCGCCTGAAGCTTTTCCTCGAACAGTTTCAGGTCCGGAGCTGTATCCTCAACTCTGAGCTGCCAGTCACATCAAGGGCGCATGTCCTCGAGGAGTTCAACCGCGGAGTGTACGACATTATTATTGCATCCGATGAAAAGAGCGCCATGGGTGCGGAGGAAAAGGATGGTGAGGAAGAAGAAGACACGGAGCAACGCCAGAAGGAGAAGGAACAATCAAAGAAGAAGCGCAAATCGAAACGAGACGATGAGTACGGCGTATCGCGAGGCATCGACTTCAAGAACGTTGCCGCAGTGGTCAACTTTGACCTTCCCACATCCGCCTCGTCATACACTCATCGCATCGGACGTACAGCGCGAGCGGGCCGGACAGGCATGGCTCTGTCCTTCTACGTTCCTAGCGAACTGTACCGCAAGCACTTGCCGACGAGCATAGAGACGGCCGAACACGATGAGAAGATTCTGGCGAGAATCAAGAAGCAGCAGGCGAAGCAGGGCAAGGAGGTCAAACCCTACAGCTTCAAGAAGGAGCATCTGGATGCGTTCAGATATCGTCTAAATGATGCGTTGAGAGCAGTCACTAAGGTGGCGGTTCGCGAAGCGCGTATGAGAGAGTTGAAGCAGGAACTCCTCAAGAGCGAGAAACTCAAGAGGTATGTGCCTTTCGATTACGGTTGATGGTGCCTTAGACAGGATCTCCGTCGCCACCGAAGCCTGCGCCCTACTGACCCTTTGTAGATACTTCGAGGAGAACCCTACGGAACTCCAGCATCTCCGGCACGACGGAGAACTGAGAACAGCTCGACAGCAGCCCCACCTGAAGCACATACCCGAGTACTTGCTCCCGAAAGAGGGAAAGGATTCTCTCACAAAGAACGATGTCGGCATGGTGCCATTCCGCAAGGTGGGTGGTAAACAGAGGAGGAATAAGGGCAAGCCAGGACGCAAGAAGATTGGTACGCGGAAAGTCAACCCTCTGAAGACTTTCAAGGCCCGGAGGAAATAAGCAAAGGTCTCGACCATGCCCTGACGCAGTCGCTTGTAGATACTAATAGAGACTTGCTATATTCCCCGTGCATGAGCGGTTATTCCTTGCTAATGTGTTCAACGCTCCATGATTTAATTATGCTTTCGATCAGCTAAGGACTCATCGGCAATTTCATTTTCATGCACATGCGAATGCGAATACCTGTGCTCGAAGCTTCTTTGGTCATCAAACCCGTAGTTCTCGGCGATGCAGCTCAAGTTTCTCCGGCGTTTTCCTATCTAGGTTTATTGAATCTCAACACACTCGATGAATCGCCCTCGGCCCTCTTGGGCGTTGACAGTATATTTCTTGCAAGTTACTCATCCTACTGGTTGTTCCCATATGACCATGCCATGACATACCCCGCCCGAAAGGATGGGACGGCTCAGTTGAGTTGGTGGAAGGAGGCGTGTGATCCAGTTCAACTCCTTTCGGAGTCCGGCAAGGGCTCGTGCTTATAGTCCAAACACCTGTCAAAGAGAGTCTACCCCGCTGTGACAGTCGAACGACACGCCAAAGTAGGGCCCGTCCAATTTGTAACTCTCTCCCACCGACACCGCAATTCAAGACCGCCTTGGCAATCCTTGCGCGATGATGTTGGGTCTCATCTTAGTCCTAAACATGCGAGACTCGCGCTTCGCAAATCTACATTGATGAATTGGCCCCCAAGCCGCCCATGCCAAGCTCGTGGCTTCGCCCAGAGTCTGCAGCATCGAGGAACCAACGCCGCGGCACAGACATCGCGAAGGCGGGCCGATACCCATATCTCCGGGCGCAAGCTCAAAGATGGCTAGCTGATCTTCTTATTCCTCCGCAGGCGCGCAGGTGCTGCGACGCGCGTCACGGTGTTCGTGATACACTCTGGGAAGATATAGCCCGGAAGACAATGGTGTCCTGAGGTTCGTGGTACCTTCCTGTCGCCAACAGGAACAGAACCTGCCTTCGCAAAGGAGCCTACAAGGATAAGAATAGGTAGCGTACCTAAACCTTTTTCGATCTGGCGGGCTGATTGTCTCACATCAATAAGCAGTATATCAGATCACGACGACCATTTGCACACGGTTTGGCTCACAACGCATACATTTATTTGGTGTTGGACGAGAAGTCTGGAAGATGGTACAGCCAGATACCTTCGCTGGGGCGGCGATCTACGTCCCGTTGTTCCTCCGCTACGTCTATGACCCAGTTGTCCTGGGTCTCTATTGCCCTTACGCCTGGAATATACCGTCGAGTAAGATGCGGGAATTCTTCAACCGCCACATTGTCAATGCCACCTTAAGATTGCGTTCGTCAAACACCGTCGACGAAACAACAATCCGGCCCGGATCAAGCAAAGACTCTCCATGTCGGATCTTGGACATTGGAGTCGGTACCGGATATTTCCTCGAGCATGCGCCCCTTCCGGCGGGGTCGGAAGTGCACCTGGTGGACCTCAACCGGGCAGCGCTCCATGCTGCTAGGTCTCGGACGGTGGCGGCACACCCGACGACGACATGCCAAATAACCGTTGCCGACTTTCTTGACCCGGAAAGGAGAGGCTTGCGCTGCAGAGACCTGGGCGGTGGTTCTTTCGACGCCATATCGACAATGATGCTGCTTCACTGTATACCAGGACCCCCTGCGAGGAAGGCAGATGCGTTGGTCCATCTACGACATCTGCTCGCCCCTGAAGGTACCCTGTTTGGGATGACAATCTTGGGTCGCGGTGTCAAACACAACGTATGGGGGAAACAGTTGATGTTTTGGCACAATCTCCTGGGGATCTTTGGAAATACAGAGGACAGCGCGGAGAGCTTCGTCGGGCCTTTGGAGGAAGCATTTGTAGATGTCATGTGGGAAGTTCATGGCAAGATGCTTTTGTTCGAAGCAAGAAAACCCAAGCTTTGATGGCTTATTCAAAACTTGAGATGGCCTGTACGTTGATGAAATCTTTGAACTGTAGGTACAATTAATGCTAAGCTTCGCAACTTTACGATAACCACATGGTGTTACAACCTTTCCCCCCTTCTTCTTCTTCTTTTGGGCGGCCTGGGTAGGGCAGGAGTATTTATTAGCTTACATCAGAGGACTACGAGTATGGAAAGGGGGTTTATGAGACTTTCATTACACATGCAAACTCGCAGACCAGTATTTTTGCACTAATATAGATCGAGCGAACGCGCCTGAGGTCATGCTGCTGAAGAATGACCCTTCCGCCACCAACGACCGAGGTCAGTAGCCTGGATAAAGAGCAACCAAGAGCTAATCCAAGGAGTCTACTTTGAGGGTATTGTAATTTTTGTTTGTTTGCCTCTCTTATAGCTTACCCTCTATTACCTGCTGCCATCAATTGGGATGCAAGGAGCCGGATATCGCGAAACGAAGTGATGAGCGAGTATGCTTTGGACCAGTGAACCTAGTCAACTTAAAACTGGTGTATGGATCAATAACAACGGCAGTCTTACACTAAAAACGATGAAGATTTGGACTGTACCCGTATTGTTGAAGATTGCTACTCTCCTCAGCAAGGGCGATTGCGTGGTATTTACCAGGGAAATAAGGTCTCTGGGATGACCTGGCCAGGTTTTAAGGCCATCAAGGACTGTACATGCATAAATATTGTATTCTATTCAGCATGTATATTCGATACTTAGCTCAATCACCTGGTAGGGGTTTTGCTACACGCTGCTGGTCTACTACTTGTCCCTACTGCCTTTGACCCTGGAAGGTCAGACATCGGTTCGGAGTCTCCTCGGCCTTAACTCCGTCATCTTCCATCTACCGGTAGCCGTTGCTTTCCTCTCAGAGTATCTCTTCTCAATCGCTTCGAGACTATGCCCTCGCGTCTCCACCATAACTACCGCTACGACGACGGTGCAAACAAGTGAACAACCCGCGAAAAGAAAGTATGCCCCAAAAGTGGACTTTGACAGCAGTACTGGTGTTATCAGCGCAACGACATAATTAGAAAGCTTGATGTTGTGTTAGTTCAGTCTCGAAAGTCTAGGAGCCATAGAGAACAATATCATTGAGGGAGACTTACCCAGTTGGCACTTTGAGCAAGGCTAGATGCACTGCTCCTTGTCTTGCTTGGCAGACTTTCAACCATAAAAGTACGGAAGCCGATGGCCCACGTACAACTGTAGACGAGGGCAAAAAGGTAGATCGATACGATGACCACCCACTTCCCTGCCCCTGAGTCGGCGTGAACCTCTCCAGCGGCGAATAGAGAACCCATCAAAAGCATCAGAGCGGTGATGAGTACTCCGCCCAGCAAACTCGACGTTCGTCTTCCCCAACGATCAGCCAAAAATGTGGCCGGGACAGTCACAGCCAGAATGACCAACGCCGAAACGCCGGACGCGAGGAAAGTTGCTTGCTCTCCAGCGAGTCCAGCTTGTGTGAACAAGATAGGGGCATAGTAGAGGATTCCGTCGATGCCAGACAGCTGTTGGGCCGACATGAGGAAGCAACCAAACGCAGTTCTGCTCCTGAAAGGAGCCGAGAAGGCCTCGCCGAAATCCGCAAAAGTCTGCCGCAAGAGTTCCCAGAGCGTCACATTGGCTCTGTGCTCTTGCACCTCGGACATAGACTGCTCGAGGAGCTCCACTCGCTCGTTTTCGTCGAGCCCCAATGTGTCGAGCACGACTCGAGCCTCGTCCAATCTCCCTTTGCTGAGCAGCCACCTTGGTGACGTTGGAACTATCCAGTAGGTGCTGGAGAGAACGATGCCGAGTAAAGAGGCGATTGCCAACGGAAGGCGCCATGCCAGAGATGACGATTCTATTCGGGCGGTTCCGTAGCACATAAAATACCCAACGACGATGCCAGTGACGATGGAGAACTGCGGCAGGGCCGTCATAATACCGCGAACCCGGGCAGGGGACAATTCGGATACCTGCACATAAACGTTGCTCAAGAACATGCCTTCACCAACACCCTTGATCAGACGACCAAAAATGAAGAGCCCAATCTTGGGCGACGCACACTCAAGAGCCGCACCGCAGCCGTAGACAAAAGACCCCAGTGCGAAGAGAAGAACGTGCCCGAATCGGTCTGCCATGGCACCAGAAACGAGGGCTGACAGAGCTCCAGGGATGAGAACAGATGATACAATGACCCCGTGCATTGTGGGAGAGAAGTCACCAAATGTTTGACGGAAAGACGGCATGGTCGTCACTGGGCCAATGCTGCCGGTATCAAGGCTTCAATCATATTACCGTGTTAGCCAGACCAAGGACCTTGCGAAGGTAAGGCGGGGTAAAGACGCACCCAAAGAGCATGGCCACGCACGAAGCGATAATGCTTGCTCTCGCATAGCGAGGAACCTGAATAGTGTTCCTCATCTTGGAGGAATGTTGGAGGTCTGAGGCCAAGGGTATCCTTGAAAACAAAAGTGACTCATGTGATTCTCAGTTCGATCGTAGCTGGTTCTAGTTCCGATGACATTGGCGGCGGCAGGGGCTTATAAGACAAAGGTGAGCGTGCACATAAATTCGGGGTTTAGCCCACAATGAAATCTCCGCCGCCGAACAAGCCAAATGACTGCAGTCGTCGGAATCCCCGACTCGTAGCAACCCGCTGCACGCGATTGTCTTATCGGACCTGAGTGAGGTTCCACTGTAACTCTCTGCAAATGTCCAATAGTAGTGCACCGTTCAGAAACGAGTCGATGAGCGAGCAGTGGACTGGACGAAGCGGTGAGCAACCAAACCAGCATAGGATAAGCACGGCTGATTTAGAGACTAAGAGCAGTGGCGATGCAATACTTCAATGGCCCATCGAATAAGAAGTCAAAGGGAGCGTAATACATCAGGATCAATCAAATGACACCTGCGGCTATTACTACGACGATATAACTGCGTTTGTTCTCACAAGAGTTACGTCACGATAGCTTCAACCATTTCCGCATTATGTAAGTGCCCTGCTGTGTGCTCTAAACCGTGACAACTTAGATGATTTCAACACAGGTTTCTTTATAATTATCAACCCAGAAGCGAGATCTGGTGTGTGGCCATGATAGGCTTCAAATACAATCTACAATACGGATAACAAAAAGAGCAGTATGGCGGCAAAACATGGCGAATTCGCTTAGGAACATATTGTCCGATGCACGGGGTAAGAATCGGGTTCGTGACGCTGATAGTGCTACAGGTTACAAGCTTAATAAACTTCATGAGATAGTGCAGATAATCTTCCCTGAGGTAGAGTTAGCCTCTAACATACTGTGCGCCTTTTGTATCTCCTCCCATGGTAGGACCGTATCAATCTCTACTTTGAGATCGCCCGTTTCAAAGTGAGGGATATACTCCTCCAGCCTATCCCGTAGCTTTCCCTGGTACTCGATCTCTCTACTTTGTCAGGTGCCAGAGGTGGGGGGCACCAGGGGACCACCAGCTGTAAGGCCACGACCAGGAAAACTATTATCTAAGGGTTATATAAAAGCAGAGTTTATAGGAACAGGAGAATTAGGAGAAGGTAGATTAGAAAATAGTTATAATTAACCCTTAACTACACTATTTATAGACTCCTTTACTTAGTACTATAACACCTTTAATATATTCTAATCTCTACTTATCCCTAGGTATACTAACTATTAGAGCTATAATATTACCCCCTAACACCTAAGCTACTGCCTAGTAAGGTATAAGTGTTACCTCTAGGCAACTAACCCTAGACAGTAGTAACGCCTAGGCGTAGGCAGAGAACAAAGGCCTACTAGTATAATAATAGCTTTAGAGTAACCTTAAAGAGATAACAAAAGAGGAGCTTAGGTACCTCCTAGAGGAGCAAGTAAAAAAAGCTAAAAAAAAAAAGATAATTAACTAGATTTTAGCTTTAATAAATAAGGCCTTTATTAAAGAGGTATATAATATACTAAGCCTAGCTACTGCTCCTTAGCTAAAGTATAAGCACTACTATATTAATATACTATTAAAGTAGTTACCTTTAATCTAATATAAGGGGGGTATATAGAATAACCTCTAGGACTTCTTATTTAAGCTAAGGGGATAGTTTAAAGTTATAAAAAAAGAATTTAAGGATAACTAAAGTAAAGTGTAGTACACTAGCTTTATACTAGAGAGTAACTTAGTGTATAAGTAGTAAAGGTATATTAAAGCTTACTATAATAGCTAAATAAAGAAGGTAACCTAAGAGGTAATAAAGACCTAGTTAAAGAATAATATTACTAATGCTAATATATAGGCCTTTAGTATAATAGTAAAGCTTAATAATATAAAGTAAAAGGTTAACTAGTTATACTAGTAATTTATTAATAAGTATAAGACTATTAAGGTAAAGTACTTTAACCTATAAGCTAAAAGGTAATAGGTAGTCTATATACTTAACTAGTTACTACCTAATCTAAAGAGCTATATATTAGCCTAAGGGATACTAAAGATATAATAAGCCTTTAATAATACTATATAATAGGCTAAGACACTAGCTAAAGCCTATACTAAGGATAAACTAGTAGACTAGTAGAGGTAAAATTAGAAGTAAAAGGACTAGTAGGCCCTAGCTATACTACTAAGTCCTAATATAAGGGTCTTTATAATAGAGCCCTAGTCTATATACTCTATATTTACGCCTATAATAACCTAGGGTGTATTAATGCTAACGCTAAAGGCCTTAAAGGTAAAAAAGGAGAAAGGTAACTATTTACCTTTAACTAGGCTATAGTACTCTTTAACTTACTTTAACTATAGTAAGCTAAGGTATTTATTAGCTAGCTATACTAAGGAGAAGTACTATAGGTGTAGTTAACCTAGATACTTAGGTAGATAGTATATAATAAAGGTAATAAAGGTTAATACTATCTAATTACCCTAAGAGAAAAAGCTATACTACTAATTTAAGGTAGACTTTTACGCTAAGATAGGTAGTATATAGAGAAAAAAGAGGGCATTAATTAACCTAAAGGTAAATAAAAACCTTATATACTAGAGGATATTATATATAAAGAGGCTACTAGTAGTCTATAGGGAGAAACTACTACTATAAGGTATATAAAAAGGTAAAGCCTTAGACTATAGTTTAGAGAAGATAGTGTTAAAGGTAAAGGATAATATTAAAATATTAAAGACATAAAGCTATACTCTATAAGTAAGTAATATAAAGGAATATAATATTATCCTAGGGATCCCCTAGGGGCAAGTAGTAAGGCCTAACCTTAAGTAAGAAATAATTAGCTAGACTTATTTACTAGGCAAAGACTATATTTAACTTATATAAGGCTAAAGGGTAGTTAAGAGGGCCCTAAAGGATACTAAGGTAGTCCTTATAGACCCCTCTATAATCTAACACCTAGGGTATAGGACACTAGAGGGGGCACTAAAGATGCTTACTTATACACTAAAGAAGAATAAAGGGGCTAGTAAGGCTAGTAGTATAAAGGCTATAATACTAAGGGAATATAGAGAATA